TAATATTCTAGCATAATACTAGAATAGAATAAAGTTAAAGACGCATAAAAATTCGAGTTACAAAATTTTCAAAAGTTAAGGAGAAGGCATCTTTTACTGCCCTTTTGTTTATAATATGCTGGGCTAGCTACAAGATAGTTTTCTAGTTTATTTACTAAAAAGTTGTCGTTTTGTATCCGACGGATGCGACTTACAAGCGCAACAACATGACACGAAAGGAATGCAGGCAAAGTATACAAAATTACAGCAAATACTAAAAATACAAGAGAATATGCATGCAAATATATTATATATATATACATATATAGTCTGTGTGTTTGTGTGTGTGTGTGTGTGCATATATACGAAACGCGACAAGCAAAACGTTAAAAATAATGGAAAGTCGGCCTGGCTATAAATCGCAAAGATTAAGTACTCGCCGAGGCAGGCGCTACTCGTACTCGTACTCGTACTCGTACATGTTGCATTTCTATTTCTAGTTGAACGACACGCCCCCCCCCCCCCACCCCCCCGCGCAGTTCCGTACCGCCCGTCTGGCACACCTTTTGCCGCACTGTGTGTGTGTGTTGCCGGCTATAAATGCATTTTGCGGAACCGAAAAGCGTCACCGTCAAGCGTCGCGTCGCGTCGCGTCGCTGTCAGCGTCGTGTGGCAAAAAAAACACGAAAACAGAAACAAATTTGTTGGGGTTTTGTGTGGCATTTGCTATTTCCTTCCCTTGAGGAGGGGTGGAACGGAGGTGGCCAAAAACAACGATATCCGAAAGATGCGCAAAAAGCATTTCTTCGAGCAGGTGTACGAATCAATCAGCTTCCAAATTGAGCATTATTTACCATAACATAAGCAGGTCCTGTATTTTCGGGTGTATCTATAGTATATCGCGCTTTGCATTGATTCGCTTTTGAATTGGCAAAAATAGAAGCCAACCCTTTCGAACGTTTCGAATATTCAAGAATATTGTTGTTTGACAACAGCATAATTGGTTTTATAATAAGATTCGTTTTGGGGTATTTATTTATTTTTAGCGCATATTATACAGCGTTCAATATTTAAATTCTTGGGCAACTGCACAGCTTTCATTAAGGTTAAGTTTACACGTGCCAGCTAAGTGTCAAAACATTTGCTTTATTGCTAAAAACAAACATTTATAATTCATATAATTTTGGTTAAAATTGCGAAAATAATGCGGCTGGCTACCAAACAAAAAATAGCCAACCATACGCCAGATATATGCAGAACAGGTGTGAGCTTCTTTTAATAGCAGCTGAATTTTTGTGTAAAGAATAGAGGCTTACCATATGATCTATATATATTTATATACACAGTATTCATTCTACACAGGACTGTTTTGTCCTGCCAAGAAGGGGCTTAAACATTTACCAAAGCTTATATACTTATTAATTAAAGATTAAAAAGAAAGTAAGGAAAGTCTTCGGAATATCTTGAGTTTGTTGAAATATCTGATAAGATATTGCAAATAAGTTGGGAGCATAGTGAAACTTATAGATGCCGAATTTGGATAAGATAACTAAATAAATAAAAAGGTTTTTCGTTCCTATGACAGCTATATGATATAGTGGTCCGATCCGGATCCGACATATGTAGCTTTAAAACTGAGAGACTAGTTTGCATCGCAGCAGAAAGACGGAACTATGTCAGCTCGGATCTAGAATATATATGTATATACCTTATGGGGTCGAAGATATCTCCATCTATGCTTTAAGCATTTCATGACAAAAACTTAAGTATTCCTTAGTCAATATGAGTACACTCCATATCTTAATTTGTTTGCAATATTTATCTGGCATAGCATTCAATCAAATTTGGAAGTCTGCACGTATATGATGCATGGTATTGTTGTATTCCTTCTAAAGGATATTTTATTCTTATAGTTAAGTTAAGTCTTGTAGTAAAATTTAAACACTTCATTTTCAAGCTTTTCTTCCTTAGTCGAAACAAAATTGTTATATACTATCACATCGATATGGCTAGTAAAAAGCATAGGAATTATATTGCTGATATGCATAAATACATTTAACAATCGTTTGCCAGGTTTTTTTTTTTTAAATACTTCAAATAGGTTTCCCGAGAATTTTGAACTATTTCATGTGTTCTTTATTTGATCTTTGAGCCAGGCATATTTTGAATTGTTTAAGGTTTTCTTTATTCGACCTTTGTTCAAACAAAAGATACAAATATTATGGGTTCAACTTGTTGCCAATAAAAATAATTCCTCGAATATAAAATTTCTGAAATATGTTTTCTAGGGTTCACTGTAAGAATTAATCGCCTATGTCTTTTTCTTCTTTCTTTCTTAGATAAGAATACCAATTATATTCTTTTTTATTTTTTAGGGGTGAATGAGTTGATATAATTAGCACATCGGTGGTCCTTTACATATATCCCGCTCTGCAGCCTAAAAATCATGTTTTTTTCTCAAATCAAGTTCAATTTTGTTGTGCTTTCTTCAAGTATTTCCAGTAATTATCGTATTAGATAATCAAATCTTCGCTCGTGCTATTTTTTAAGCATATTCAGTGGATTCTTTCTGAGAACCATTTTATGAGTTGGTTTATCATATATTAGATAATTTGGTTACGTTGCGCGATTGCAGCTGATCGAAAACATTTCGTTGAAATTCACTCGGATTCGTGGGTTCATAAATTGTGCTGAAAACTTTTGAAACGATTAACAATTTGACAGCAAGCGCAAAATTGCGAGATCGTTGCTCTTACGTTTTCTCAATAGTTGCCTTTCATAATGCGCTCAATCTGATATTTCTCGCGGTCTCTCTCTCTCTCCCTGTCGCTCTCCCTCTCTCTTTCAGCTGGTTAGCTTTTACTTTCGCTATGCAAAAACAAAGAAATATGCCGAAGAAGAGGAAGCATATGCCAAATGATTTCAAAACTCATTTTTGATGTTTTTCGAAATTCGAAAACATTTCTCGCGCTCATGTGTGGACATTTAATTTATGACTGTGTTTGTTAGCTGTGCTAGGTGTGTGCGTGCGTGTGTGTGTGTGTGTGTGTGTGTGTGTGTGTTTGAGTGTGTGTCTCTGTGTATCTGGCATATTTCGAAATCGGCAGCAAGAATATATAGAACTTTGACTGAGAGCGGCAATTTCGAAGACCAGGCAATGCCTGCCGCGCCTGCCTGCCTGCCTGCCTGATGTTGCTGCTGCTGCTGATCTGGGGCCTGTTGCTTGGCCAACTCAACACGCACACAGTGACAACAGCAACAGCCACGGCAGCAACATCTACAGGCGCAGCAGCAACATCTACAGCCGCAGCAGCAGCATCAATAATATCGAAGTTAGCCGCCAGTCTCTGCAGAATCTTGGGTTCTCTCTTGCTCTGCTGGTATGTGTGTGTGTGTGTGTGTGTGTGTGTGTGTGTGTGTGTGTGTGTGTGTGTGTGTGTGTGTGTGTGTGTGTGTGTGTGTGTGTGCGAGATCAGGAACAGCTCCAATGCTTGAACATTTTTGCGCTGTCTTTTCACATTTCAGTAGTTTCCGTTAATGCGTTCGGCTCGCTGAAAAGTGTCTGTACTTGGGATTTGATTTTTCATTTTTTTATTTTACGTTTCGGTTTAGTTTTTAAAAAGTAACGCGTCGCTCGTCCACAAAGTGTTACAACAACAATTCAAATTAATAAATAATATCAAATATATAAAAAAAAAAAAAGAGTGCTTAAAAAGGGTGCCCATCAAATTCTTGATGCGTGCCCGTGGAAATTCGCCAGACAGGTTAGCAACGTCAACGACAACGACAACTACAACAACGTTGACGACGACAACTCGTGAGCTTACGTCATACAAATTAATATACTAAACGAAACATGGTCTATTTCTATATGCCGCATGTGGGGCCGGAGCTAATATATGTAGATATTTGTCTGCCCGTATCATATCAACGAAAAACTGCTTCGTCCAATTCAAAGTAATTGCAGAACACTCGAGAAGAAACTTTAAGTTTGGCTTACCTTTTGTCAGAGCTTAAAGCTCGTAACTCTTATTGTAATGCGTACGAATTGTTGAGATCCTCAAGCCCAATTTTATCCAGAAAAATTGACTGGAAAAAACTGTTCTTAAGCTTTACTTAGCTAAAGAACGAAATTGTTTCAAAAACTTCAGTTAAGTACTTGACTTGAAGCTCTTTGGATTGTCTTAAGCTCGAGCTCGAAAAATTCTGTTTGCTGAAAGTAGGTTCTCTCAATCTCAAAATTTTAATCTTAAGATCTAGCTTAAAGCTCAGTATTTTAAGCGAAGCAGACCAAAATTCAGCCAGGCTACAGCTGCCTTCAAGTCAGCCGTAGCTTAAAGCTCAGCTAAAGTTCAATTTCAATAGAAACACAAAATTTGCATTCAATTATGTAATGATGAACTTATCTCTGAAAGAAGTTGAGCTTAAGTAATATTTCAATTGAAATATATTCAATTTCAATACTATATGTATATATGTATGTATATATATATAAATAAATATATATATATATGTGTATATATAGTATCGTGGTTCCGTTCGTCTTGTTCAATTTCTATTCAAATTCAATTTACAATTAGCCCTTCAATCATTGGCAATTAAAGCCCATTTCGAGATAATTAATGTTGCTCAGTTCTTGGCAACATTATGACAAAAATTTTGAAATCTAAAAACAAAAATATTGTATAATTAGACTGAGACGTGGACATCATATATACACAAACATATTTATATATATATATATATATAGATATATATCTGTGTATAGTCAAAAATCATGCAAGCGTTAAGCTGTGAACAAATTCAAAGCCGTTGAAATATTTGATTTTTGTGACAAAATTCAAGAATTCAAAAATTATGTATGCAATTTGCACAGAAAATGCAATCATAAAATGAGAACTTAAAGCAAATATAAGCCAACTGACAGCACGGGGTATATAAATATAGATGCTTGTTTCTTTAGTTTATGTAAACAAAACTAACGCAAAATAAACAATAAAAACAAAAAAAAAAAGAAGATAGAAACAATTGTGAAAAAAGTTGTTTCGATTTTTGTTGAATTTTTTGTTGAGTGCAAAAGCGAGAGAAAATGCCGCTCTATTCGGATTCGAGCAACTATTATTACAGCGGCGGGAGCAGCCAGCTGTATTCACCATATTATAGCTCCGGCAGCAGCAGCAGCAGCAGCCCCAGCAGCTATACATCCAGCTATAATCGCGCCTATCCGGGCAGCTATATGGTGCCGCTGCTGCCCTCGCCCCGCTCGCCCAGCTACACCAGCAGCAGCGGCATCAGCAGCATCAGCAGCCCCAGCGGCAGCAGCAGCAGCAGCATCTTGGGCCTATCCTCACGCTATCAGCCCAAGCTGACCACCATTAAGGAGGTCTCGGCACTGACGGGCCGGCACAGCGGGCACAGCAGCCTGATGCCGCTCACGCGCATCCAGTCGCCCAAGTACACGTCTGTGTCCAGCTATGGCAGCAACAGCAGCAGCAGCAGCAGTAGCAGCAGTCGCTATATACCCCCGCGACCCATTGCCATTAATACGGCGGATATAGATGTCAGCTCGGCGAGATATAGACGAACAGCTGAGTCCGTGGAGCGCAAGCGTGAGTCTGAACTGGCCAAAGAACAGCAGCAGCAGCAACAACAATCAAAGGAGCAGCAGCAGCAACAGCCAAAGGAGCAGCAGCAGCAGCAGCAACGAGAACAACAGCAGCAACAGGAGCAGCCGCAGCAACAGGTAATGCAACCAAGACGGTCTACCATACGCCGGAATCGCGCTGTGGTGCGTCTGTCAACCATACGCAGACGCAGCAAGGAGCGCGTCGAGGAGACGCCAGCACAGATCGAACAAGAGCAGGAGCATCAATTTCGGGATCTGCCGCCGGCAACTGAGCCTAGCCTGAGCTGGCGCCAGAAGTTGGCCGACGAGCTGGCCGCATTTCCCACAACCAGCAACAAAAAGTCACCCGGCGAGCTGCTGCGCGAACGTTTCTACATACGCGATGAGAAGCAAGAGGCAGCAGCGCCGCGGCAACAACAGCAACAGCAGCAGCTGCAGCAGCCGGCACAGGCGCAGATGCAGTTGCAGTTGCAGTTGCAGTTGCAGTTGCAACAGACGCCTGCCGCAAGCAGCGATGAGGAGTCGGAAGTGGAGCGCGAGCAGGAGCAGCAGCAGCAGGAGAAGGTGGAGAAGACGGCCCAGATAACCGAGTCCATACGCCGCTTGAGTCTGGTACAGTGCCCCACATTTCATGACATCTGCGAGGACATCTCCTCGGACAAGATCGACGATGATTTGAATGCCGGCGAGCTGCGACGCCGCGCCTCCATCATACAGGAGCAGGAGCAGGAGCTGCTCAACAAGCTGCAAAAGTCGAGCTCCGGCAGCTTTCAGCTGATACACCTGGAGCGGCGCAGCAGCCATGACAGCACCACAGCGGACGAGGCGCAATCCTCGAGTGCCGTCAAGCAGACCAAGAAGAAGAGCAAGAAGCTGCGCCACAAAATCACCGCCGTTGTCGATGTGGAAAACGCGGTGGTGGGCCAGCAGCACATGCCCAGCGTCCAAGAGCTGGAGGAGGCGGGGGCGCCCGCCAGCAGTCCCAAGCCCAAGTTTACGGCCAATGTGGAGACAATGGAGGAGCATCATCAGATACACAAGATCTTCAAGTTGCCCAAGAAAAAGTTGCCGCCGTCCAAGGCGCCAGAGGAGGAACAAGCGCTGCCCGAGGGCTTCATGAAAGCAGCGCCCAAGGCTAAGACATCGCCGCTGAAGAAAGCGCCCAAGTCGAAGGAGCAACAGGAGCAGCAACAGGAGCAGCAGCAGCAGCACGTGAGCGCTGCCCAAATCTTTACCTTCGATGAGGCGTCCATTCAGCAGAGTCAGGCGACAGCCACGCCCACAGCTTTGCCCGTCAAGACAGAGAGCATGGCCACGCCAATAGCCGTGCCCGTCAAGACAGAGGGCGTTGCCACGCCCAAACCCATACGCAAGGCTCTGCAAAAGTCGGAGAGCGGCGAGGATTTCTGGTCACAGATCGGCTCCCGGGAGACGCTCTACATGAGCAATCGCAAGAAGGCGCTGGGCGAGCGTCAGCTGGAGGTAACCCCAGAAGCAGCTGAGCTGTCGCCCAAGGACGCTGCAGCAACAGCAACAACAACAGCAGCAACATCAGCAACACCTTTGCTTAAGTCAGAAATTGTTATTGAACTAACACCAATTAACACAGAGGCAGCAACACTGCAGAAAACAACAACAGCTAAAGGTGCAACATCAAGCGCAGCAACAGCAAAGACAACAACAACAACAGCAGCAGTAACAACTACACAAATATCAGCAGCAAAAACAACAGCAACAATAACTAAAACTGAAGCAACAACAACTGCAGCTGGAATAAATTCACCCAAATCCACCCCAGCAACACCCAAGCTAGCAACAACAAGCACAGCAGCAACACCAAAGTCAACAACAGCAGCAGCAACAACAATAACTAAAACTGAAGCGACAACAACTGCAGCTGCAATAGGTTCACCCAAATCCACACCAGCAACACCGAAGCTAGCAACAACAAGCACAGCAGCAACACCAAAGTCAACAACAGCAGCAGCAACAACAATAACTAAAACTGAAGCGACAACAACTGCAGCTGCAATAAGTTCACCCAAATCCACCCCAGCAACACCCAAGCTAGCAACAACAAGCACAGTAGCAACACCAAAGTCAACAACAGCAGCAGCAACAACAATAACTAAAACTGAAGCGACAACAACTGCAGCTGCAATAAGTTCACCATCAGCAGCAACAGTCGCAACTGCAAAATCAGCAGCGGCAGCAGCAATCGAAACCAAAACCGAGACAGCAATAAGTTCACCAAAATCCACGCCAGCAACATCAGCTTTAACAGCTGCAACAACTGCAGCAGCATTAAAATTATCCACAGAAATAACAGCAGAAAAGGTGGCAACAACTGTTGGAAAAGGAAGTACAGTCAAGCCAGCAGCAACAGTTGCTGCAGTAGCAACACAATCTGGCAACGCCATAGACGGCGCTGTAGTCATGGCAACGGCAACGGCAACGGCATCAACAGCAATGGCACAAACAATAACAACAACAACAGCAGCAGGCAAATCAAAACTGATCGAAATGGCGGCAGCAACAACAATAGCAAAAACAACGGCAGCAACAGCGACAGCAGCGCCAAAAATAAATGCCGGGCAAGCAGCCAAGTCACCTGAACAACAACAGGCAACAGCAGCAGCAGCAACAGCAGTGGCTGCGGTAGCGGCAGCAACGAAAATAAATAAAACAACGCATAATAATGAGCGACAGCAGCAGCAACCACCAGACAACGCAGCAGCAGCAGCAACAATAGCAACAGCAACAACAACAATAGTGAAACAAAAAACGGAAACTAAATCGAAATTGACGGAAACCGTTGAGCCAAAGTCAAAGGTGCAATCACCGAAAACGACAAAGCCAAAAAGTGCTGGCAAAACTGCGACGCCAGCAACAGCAGCCAAAAAGAAAGTCGCAGCGACTCCCACAGCAGCAGCAGCAGCAGCAACAACAACAACAACAACAACAAGATCGTTGCCAGACAGCAATGTGACCCCAATCAATGCCGATCAATTTATAACGTTGGCCCCCACTAAGGCGGCCATTGCAGCGGCAGCGGCCAAAACGTTGCCGGCGGCCACAAATGCGTCATCACCGGCAACGACTGCAACTGCAACAGTGGCAACAGCAGCAGCAGCAATTGCAACCACAGCAACGGCGACAACGCCTACAACAGCAGCAGCAGCAGCTTCTGCTGCAGCGGCGGCAGCAATAACAATAGCAAAAACTGGCGACGAGCAGAAGACTCAGCCACGATCTGTTGCTGCTGTCGACGCGGCTGTTGCTGCTACTGCTGCTGCTGCTGCTGTCGACAATGAGCGCAGCAACAACAGCTGCGGCGAAGGCGTCGGCAATAATTTATCAAAGTTTGCAACAGTATCGAATTTGGCACAGTGTCTGCGAGACGTTGACGCCGAGCTAGAGGACTATATACCCTCGTCCGCGGAAAATAGCGACGACGACGACGACGACAGTTCAGGCGATTACTCCAGCGCGGACGGTTGTGCAAATTTGAGTGCCAGCATGAAGAAGAAGCAGCGCAAGGAGAAAAAGAAGCAAAAGGCTAAAGAAGCGACACCCGCACGCTTCGATCCGCAAAAGAAAATCAAAATCGATACAACAAGCAAATGCTATGTGAAAGAGGAGGCGCCACGATATCCGCTGGTGGCCACACCGCGTCCGCTCTGGAAGCGCGAAAAGATTGTCTACTCCGATGAGAATACGGATGATGAGAGCAGCGAGGAGAGCAGCGAGGCAACCGCCGGCTCACTGGATGAGGAGAGCGATGAGGATGACAGCGATGCGTGCAGCAGCAGCAACAGCAGCGGCAGCAGCTCCTCCGAATTCGACGAGGAGACGGCGGCCACAACGACAACCCACGAGAAACGCACAAATGCCGCCAGCACAAATACCGCCAACACACTGGCGCCGACGGCCAACAACAGCAACAGCAACAGCTCGGCCAGCACCTCGGCAACGGCATCGGCATCGGGCAGCGCATCCGTTTCCAGCTCGCCATCGATAATACGGATGAGCACGTGCAGCAACGATTCCGGCTTCGAGGGCGGCACCGCACCATCCAGTCCCAAAAAGATGTTAGGTAAGCGCCAAATAAAAATCCAACCCACACAGCCAGACAGATAGACAGACAGACTGCATTCACATCGCATATGGAACATATGGACGGACAAACGGACGGACGGACAAACGGACGAAGGGACAGTGGGGCGCAGACAAGCGCCGACGGGTGGTTCCGTTGGCCATTTGAGTTGTGGGCGCACGTGCCGCGCGAAAATATAAATTTCTGTTTGTTATTGTTGTTGTTGAACCCGCGAGCATTCCGGCCATTTACTTAGCAGCTGATCCCTGCTTCCCACACCCAACCCCACGCTCAACCCACCCAGCTTCTTCTTAGTAATTGCTGTGCCTAGAATTAGCTTTCATTTTCAATAGCCACAAGAGAGACATAGAGAGAGAGAGAGAAAGAGAGCGCGCGCGAGAAAGCAAGCGCATGGCATGCGGAATATTTAGTTGAAAAACAAATAAACATGCTATAAATCTGTGTATCTGCCTATACAAAAATGCTTTTTTAATGGCCACATTATACTATATACTTAAAAAAAAAAAGAAAACAATGAAAATTCAAAAACAAACTTTTCAATGCTTCGCTTCTTAGAATATTAAAACATTGCGCTAATGAAGTCATGCAAAGTTCCATGAAATAAAATCCTGTCTAGCAAGTTCTTCTTATATACATATATATATATATCTGTATATTTAGCAAGCATCTAACCACACTTTCCTAGAATTCTTAGTATTTTATTCTTTCTCAAATTGTAGCAAAACTTTGCAAAGTGAATTATTACATCTGCTTAACTACTGCAATTTTAAACATGTAAATTTTAAAGTGACACTTTTAATGTGAATGTAAATGTTAATGTTAATGTTAATGTTAATGTTAATGTTAATGTTAATGTTAATGTTAATGTTAATGTTAATGTTAATGTAAATGCAAATGTTAATGTTAATGTTATTGTTAATGGTAATGTTAATGTTAATGTTTATATTAAAGTTAATGTTAATGTTAATGTTAATGTTAATGTTAAGTTAATGTTAATGTTAATGTTATTGTTAATATTAATGTTAATGTTAATGTTAATGTTAATGTTAATGTTAATGTTAATGTTATGTTAATGTTAATGTTAATGTTAATGTTAATGTTAATGTTAATGTTAATGTTAATGTCCATGTTCAAGTTCATTTTCATTTTCATGTTCATGTTCATGTTAATGTTAATACGCGCTAGAAACCAGCTTTAATTAAAACTAACCGACCTTATAAAGTATCTACATTCTTGATCATTATTGACAGCAGGGTCTAAATAGCCAATTCTTTCTGTCACTTTCTATGCAAACTAGTCAGTCAGGCATAAAGCAAGCGCCATGCATCTGTCAAATCTTAAGTTCTTGTAAAAAAAAAATCTGTTTTTTAAGATATCTTGCGCTTTCTCTGAATTAAGTAGTTTCATAATGGGCCTTAAATATTATTTATTTATTAATTACAAGCGTAAAAACAATTCAACATATGTAAGATTCATATGTATCTGTATTTCAATTTTTTGTTGAATATTTTGATTTATTACGTTCATGTCAGCTGAGAAAAAGAAAATGTATCGAATGACACTTAGGTTCGAACCCGGATTCCTAGGGATTAAGGCCTTTTTAGACTTGAATTTGAACAGCAATCTATTGAACTATTCTGGGATCGTGATCTCTACACTCTATATCTATCCGACTCTCTCTAGTAATGTCAGAATTTTAATAATAATTTCTGTTCACAAATCAATTGGATGTCAAAGTGTCAGATATCTAAAAAGAACACTTTGCCAATCTGCACAGATATAAAGCACAACGATATCAGAGCATGTTTTATGCATTTCCTTATATAATTTGAAAACAATTTTGGGCATTTGATTCTCAGTTGCTGAGAAGCAAACAGCGAATGCTGAGAATTTGCTAGCACGATGTGGAAGAGCGACTAAATGCAGCTGCAGATACGAGAACAGATCGCGGAGGTAAGAGAGAGATAGAAGATTTGGCATTTTACTTTTAGCAAATTGTATACAAAATTGTTTGGGTCAGCTTCGTGTTTGCCTTTGTCTTACGTCTTTTTCTTGGGATTTGTCGTCTTTCATCTTATGTTTTGCTGTTTTTCTTTGCTTTAAACTGAAATTTCATGCATTGCAAATCATTTTTGTTTCGCACACAAACATTTGAAATATGTTCAGAGCTCTTATAGAGATAAATGTACGGCAAAAGAGAGAGATTCCCTGATTCTTCAGTTATTTAATGCAACAATTACCGAAAGCAAAAGTTTCATAAAATCTCAATTGCTTTTTTGCCTCAAATACATAAATTCGAAAAATGTAAACAAAAGGCTTTCTAAATATTTGCAAATAAAATCCACACATGTATCTAAAATATATATATATACAGATGGATATATACTATAGATATCGAAAGTGTGAAAAGAATACGAATTAAAACAAGCTTTTAGTCTCGACTGACAACGTGGCTACAAAAAGGGTCAATATCTCAAGGGGTTCAATGTTCAGCTATTTGAAGGCTACTATTCAGAACTCATCAATAATAAGTATGAAAATAATCTTGAGCGAAACAAGAGCTTAGAGCGAAGTGGCTATATGTCAATTTATATGTTCTTCTCCTGTCTGTTTTAGTCGAATTATAGAATGTTTTCCGATTAACCGATTATTGATACTGTATCTGAACAAATTTTGATTTCCATTTGTTCCTCTTTGGTCCTCTAGATTTGAGTCTTAATTCCAATTCAAAAAACATCCAAACTTTGTTTGGCTTTGTTTAGGGCTTGTCATCAAAATTGTTACGATTCCTTAAAGTAAACATTTGTATAGATCAAAGTCAACCGGATCGTACCACTATATAATATAGATCACAGTGGAACTGTTGGTCGAATGTTATTCTAACTACAAAATCATATCAAAATCGAATCACTAGAAAGCTGAAATTTGTACTCAGATTACCTTATATTTAGTTCACCAGCTTCTAAATTATTCTAAGATATCTTTGTCAAATTCATTTAATACGTATTTCAAACTCTGCAATATCCATCCCTCAAGGCTTTTGGCCTCAAGCTATACACCACGGGGAAAATATAAAAAAAGCACAGATTCCAGCTTGAGGTGCTTATTTCAATGGATTTCAAACTCATTTTTAAATAATGACGTATTGTTGAGGATAGGGTTTGATTTCGATTTTGGACTGGGAACCGTGCAAGTACGTAAATTACCAGCTTGTACCAGCTCATACTAGCTAGTACAACTGAGCAAATGTGTTCTTCAAAATAGTTTTCAGAAAATATAAAAACTATTTGGGAAAATCATAAAAAACTTTACCCAATCAAGCACTTTTAACTGTTTTAGATCATTTGGCTTTGTTTAACAATTGGTTAACAACTAGCTAACTTTTGCTATATAAATAAATGCTATGTTAGTTCCCAGTTTAGATATGATTTAACTACACGTGACATAAATCACAAGTATTTGCCAGATTTTGTATGAGAACACTTAGCCATGGCCCGTACCTGTCATAGCTGCAGGATAATTCATTTATAAAAACAGTCTCCAACTCAAAGTCTTGAGTTTAACATTTTGTGGCACTCGCTTTCGTGCAAGGAACACGCGGCGTATGCGTGATATTTGCATAAAATGTTTTCTTGTGATTGGCCGCGTTGACTCGTAGCAAGAAAATTCATGTGATTGCATGCAAATATTTGCAAATATTTGTTGTTTATTAAATTAACATTAAACGAACAATAAACACACACACACACTCACACACACACAGGCAGCAACGCCTTCTACACAGCCTTTGGGAAACGGCCAAAACGGATGTGCGTTTGAATTCAAATGCGAGTGTGTGTGTGTGTGTGTGTGCGTAGTGTGTGTTATATAGAGTAAGCAATTTGTATACTCGACTTGTTGTTATTTTCGATTTGCTGTTTTTTAATTGTTGGCAAAGCTTTCTATATATGCCAAGTGCGAAAATTGGAGGGAAATGCTTTTCCATATATACACCCTCTTTGGCCTGAAACGTGCAACCAATAAATCGCAGCAGCAATAAACGCTTCCCCCCCCCACCCCTCCCCTTTATACATGTATATGCATATACATGGTCGCATTTCACAATCATATTAATAACGATTTGTTTTAATTAATCTCAACATTTGTGCTGCCCACGCTGCCAAAAATCGAAAAACCGAAAAAAAAAAGAATGTGACGTGAATTGTCACAAGAAATGCGAACGGCTCACGGCCAATTTATGCGGCGTCAATCAGAAACTCATCGTCGAGGCGCTCAACCACGTAAAACGAGGTAAAAGCGGCACAGGAATCTCTGAAATATTAAAAAATAAATACAAAAGCAAAAAAAACCATGTGGAACGTCTTACTTCGGCAGGCCGAAGATTAAATACCCTTGCAGGCATATGGTTTCGCGAATTGTGTAGCTCGCTCAAAAATCTTAAACAGCACAGTTAAACATTCGTGAACCCATTTTTGATCAGTTCTATATAGCTATTTGATATAGTCCGATGTCAGAATTACCGTATATAAGCTGAGTTTGATTAGGACAACTTGATAGAAAATAACAGTTTTTGGATCCATAATTCCTATGGCAGCTATATGATATAGATATATATATATATAAATGGAGAGAGAGAGAGAGAGAGGGAGGAGAGAGAGAGGGAGAGGTTCTGGCTATGTATTACCTTTATGTCAACGGTTCATTAAGCCTTAAAAAGAGGGAAACTAGAATCAAACAAGGGCCTCGACTGTATACTTTATGAAGTCGGTTGGCGTTACATATTGCATGACAAACTCATAATAGCCTCTGCAAGGGTATAAAAACGACGATACGAAACGGAATCGCCGCCAGCCCCAGCAAAATGGAGGCGCGTGCGTTTCGTTTTCGCCATCAAAACAAAATAAAAAGCAAACAAATATCAAAAGAAAAGAAAATCCATAAATAATGGCGCCTAAATATGGCTGACATTACGATTTCATAATTGACTTTGCCAGCCAATTGACTGTGTGTGTGTGCGTGTGTGTGCCTATATGTGTGTGCACAGAGTGTTGAAAGATTGCCAAATTAATAAATAAAAGCGTAAAATATATCAAGTACTTAACTAAATAAACAGCTCAAACTATGTTTAAACAAATGATCTACCCGGCTTTGGAGATTAGTTCTAGAATTTATTTGTAAGCTTGTAAGCAATTGCAAAGTTTACATGGGCTTCAATAATAAAGCTTTTGAAAACAACTAGAAAGAGTTAATTATTTAGTTAGTTTTCTGATATATAGATATAGTCCATATGAAGATAGGCTTTTTCAAAATTTTAATTCGTTTTTTCTCTCAATTTGTGACGATTTTTCTTGGAAAATTCGATAAGCAAATACTTACTGGAGTATAATTAATTAATTCTGAAGATTGTAATCATTTAAATTGTGTTTAGGATAATACGAATGATTATCCACTTAATATAGTTACTATATTACTTAAAGAAATGCAACAAGAAATGTGCATGATATATTGAAAATTCCAGTTTCGATAAGGGATTCTAGCTTAAAAGACTTAAGGCTGCAAATCTGTTTTTAACTCAAAGAAAATCAATTACCTATTTACTATGAAATGAAACTTAATCCAAACCAATTTCCAAAAAAAAAATCTTAACCACATATTTTTCAAAAATGTTTTGGATTAAAAGAGAAAACTTTTCAGTTTTGTAAGCCTAGCCCCAAGGCATTAAAGCCTTGGATCCCAGCAATAGAATCCTTCTTACCATTTTAAGTAATTGTCAATTTTGAGTAGATATCAAATTTAGACACCAATTTCTTATATACAAATATCTATGACTTGACATATTCTCAGTAGATCCAGGGAATTCAAGGATGTGTAAAATGAAACCAAAAGGCAGGGAGTAAGTCGGCAGCCATTACATAATATAGTTAGTTCAAAATTTTCAAATACAATTACAGCATAAAGTTATTATTAGTTGAAACACACACACACACACGCGAACACACACACACACATTTGCTGGTTAGTCGTGTGCAAATCGGGCCAATTTGGATGTTTATAAAGCGTGAACTTTGATCTACTCCATAAATTAGGCGCACGTGAGGCACGAGACTCGCCCAGCACACCGCCCAGCTGCAATCCTGCCTATAAGATCGAGGCCAACGATGAACACGATGGTACGGCATAAATAGTAATATATATATATATATATATCCTAATATATAGAGTATTATCCCATAAGTCAAGCGCTGCTCAAGTGGCCAACAGGAGAACTGCACACACCCACAACTTTGGACACAACTATCTCTTTATACTTACTTACTATGTAGCTCGTATTTCTATGTTTGTTGTGATATCATAACTTTCTCAATATATTCGTCAACTAATGAACTATCTCTGTATCTTTTACACTCACTATCCGTTGCTTTGGATACTTAATTGGATCGTACAGAAACATCATATACATATTCACAATTCCAAAAATCCGGACGTTTCACCGCGCCAGCCACAGTAATACCTAGATTTAAGAATTATTCGGTAGATGATTTTCATTTTCTGGCCGTGCTCGGCAAAGGCAGCTTTGGCAAGGTGAGTTCAAGAGAATCGAATCCAAATTGTTGCTCAACTTTTTATGGAAAATTTCCCAATATGTATTTAGGTTCTGCTGGCTGAGCTACGTGATACGACATATTATTATGCCATTAAGTGCCTCAAGAAGGATGTGGTGCTCGAGGACGATGATGTGGACTCCACGCTGATTGAGCGCAAAGTATTGGCCCTGGGCACCAAGCATCCATATCTATGCCATCTATTTTGCACATTTCAAACAGAGGTGAGTTTCTTCTAAGACAAGGTCGCCCAGCAAGGTCGATAGGTGGGCCGACCAAGTGAGCCGCCCCTTAGCTGTTAATCTATTTAATATAAGATGCTAGACTCGCGTAGGTAATACCCGCCAATGCATCCAAGAGATATAAAAATAAACAGCCTAAAGGTAAAACTACCTATTATTAGATCAACACGCTCTTGTGTGTGTGCGTGTGTGCTTCTCTATGCTGACCATCGATTGGGGCACACGACATGGCAAGTGCTCGACCGATCCCCACCGCTCGAGAACCACGTTATTTGGCACGCACGTCCGGCAAAGCGTTCGACAATGTTCTCTGAACATTTTGACCAACAAAACAAACAAATATATTGAAAACTAGAAAACTAAAAAACTTAAAAACTAAACAAGTAAGAGGTTCTAGTCGGGAGCTCCCGACTAGGGGATACCCTGAACTCTCTTCTTTCAACAGAAGATAGTTATAATATTTACAGAAATTGCCCAAAAAACAGGATTTCGATATAGATTTTTATCGATAACTTGGAAACGGGGCAAGTTATCGAATATCGGAAACAAACTCGATCTGCGCGGGGACTAGGAGGACCTACAGCTAAAATTTCAAAATTTCTCTAGCTTTTATAGGTTCTGAGATCCTTGCGTTCATACATACGGACAGATGGACAGATCGACTCGGCTATTGATGTTGATCACGAATATATATACTTTATGGGGTCGGATATGTTTCCTTCTGCCTGTTACATACATTTGCACAAATACATTATACCCTTTTTACCCATTTTTAATGGGTTCAGGGTATAAAAAACCAAAAAAAGAAAAGAAAACAATAAGTTTGCTTTGCTTGCATTGACACCGATTAGAAGGTATTTTAATTATTTATGACTTTGAGGATACACGCCCATTCATTTTGGGGGACTCGCGATTTGTTTTTCTCTCTCCATTGCCTGAGCTGATGCTCACCTTAGCTACACTCAGCAAAAAAAAATGCACACTTTTGAGTTGAAAATTTAGAGATCAGATGGAATCAAAGCCAGAATTATTAAGAAAAAATATGAAATTATGCAAATCAATCTAGAGCAAAGCCAGTAGAATATTATAAATATTCCTTGTGAAAATCCGTTTTGCTAAGTTTTATGATGGTTGACCACTTTTTATAGAAAAATAAAAATATACTTGCCAATTCAGGCTAAGATTCTCGAGTTCGAACTTTGGTTCATCAAATTTCTTAGGAACCAATATTTTTTATATAATAGAAACAATTTTATTATAAAATAGTTATGGTTCAGGTTTCTCACAGATCTTTGTACTGTCTAGCACACGAATCTCTCCATATTTCGCGAGATCTCTACACATGTCTCTCTCTCTCTCTCTCTCTCCCACTCTATTTGCAGAGCCACTTGTTCTTTGTGATGGAATATTTAAATGGAGGAGATCTAATGTTTCATATACAGGAGAGTGGACGTTTTTCGGAGGAGCGTGCGCGTTTCTATGGCGCTGAAATTATATCCGGGCTCAAGTTTCTCCACAAAAAGGGCATTATATATAGGTGAGCCTTCCACCAATACTATTAAAATAAACGAATACGAATAAAGACCTTTTACATTTGTAAAGGGATCTCAAATTGGATAACGTACTGCTCGACTATGAGGGTCATGTGCGTATTGCCGATTTTGGCATGTGCAAATTGCAAATATATTTGGATAAGACGGCCGATAGTTTTTGCGGCACACCCGATTACATGGCGCCCGAAATCATCAAGGTAATTAATCGATATCGATAGCACGATAACAAAACAAAAAACGATAACATGCCTTTCCATTTCGCTTGACAGGGTGAAAAGTACAATCAGAATGTCGATTGGTGGTCCTTTGGTGTGCTGCTCTACGAAATGCTTATCGGTCAATCTCCATTCAGCGGCTGCGATGAGGATGAGCTCTTCTGGTCGATATGCAATGAGATTCCATGGTTTCCCGTCTACATATCCGCCGAGGCAACGGGCATCCTCAAGGGCGTAAGTGGGCGGCTTTAATTTGATAAACATAATTATATTATGATCTAACTCTTTCTTAAGCTGCTGGAAAAGGATTATACGAAACGCATTGGCTCTCAATATAGTCCAGCTGGTGATATAGCAGATCATTTATTCTTCAGGCCCATTGACTGGAATCAGCTCGAGAAGCGGCAAATTGAGCCGCCCTTCAAGCCCCAAGTGGTAAATACCCCTACCCCGACCGATTTGTATGTGGATCATATTCAACTCTGCTTTCATTTCACAGAAACATCCACTGGATACGCAATATTTCGATCGTGTATTCACCAGAGAACGCGTGCGCTTAACGCCCATCGATAAGGAAATACTCGCATCCATGGATCAGAAACAGTTCCATGGCTTCACCTATACAAATCCGCACATCACTTTGGACTAGATACACACGTATATCTCGAGCACATTGATGTGCTCCTTGGGCAATGTGCTGGGCATATACCATATATCATAGCATATTTCTACAATATATAATATATTTATATATATATATATATATATATATATATTATATTTAATCGTAACCCCAAAACCATATCCCAAATTACTTATTAGAGCAACAGTATTTGTATATGTATGTATATATATCTATTATATGATTATATCATTATGTTTTTGTTTAAGTGTATAAAAAGTTTTTTTTTTTAAATTTATGCATTAATATCTCTCGATATGCATATAAATACTTTATAATTGAACTAGGCTTACGTGAATGTATCAATGTGCATATTCCTAGTTGAGTAAAGCTGAGCCAAATGTGATTTCAGTGGAACGAACAATATATAGACAGGGCAGAAATCGTATATGGAATTTTTTGAAATTAATTTAAAACAAAAACATATTTCTATTTGGAGTTGCTTTTGGCTATTGCAATTACAAAGTTACGAATACGTTTATATTGATAGTCAATTAGTGATAAATAAACATACATATAAGAGCATAACTGTATATACTATATGCATATATATATATATATATATATATATATTGCACGATATATATCTATATATATATCTATATATATTTATATCTACTATATATATTTATATATATATATCTGTTTACATATTACATAAATATTATAATCAAACTTTTTTTTTCAATATAGTTATACAAGCTCTATACCAAAGTCTACGTATGAACTCGTTTGTATATGCATAACGATAAAATAAAAATGAACGAAAAATATGTGATTATTTCTAGAAGAAAATGCAAAACTCATGCGATTTAGACAAGGTTTGCCTTTCTGTTCATGGTTTGGCCTCCAGATCAATTTGGCATCTAAATCTGGCAACATCATTCTTGGTCAAAATTCATGTCAAAATGGCACCCTCAAATATCCTATATAGACAGACATAGATCGGAATTTCTCTTTTACCTTGGCCCTTTTAACTCTTGGAACTATTTTCTAATATGCAGTTGTAATATTTCTCTCAAATGTGACCTGAAGTAGTGGAAGAGAGAATATACACTTAAATTTGTTCTTATAATGTTTTGTCTGCAGTAATTTCTCTCAAAGTAGTCGATAATAATATTCGAGAAATATCCCTTAAGAGAATATATTTACCTTTTTGCTCAAACTTATATGGAGGAGGAGGATGGATATTGTTCTAAGCCCATCACAAGCTAACTTTTTTTATATAGAATGGGCTGCCATGGTGGCCTTTAGATAAAGATAATAATAAAACTATGCACTAGCCGGGATTCGAACCCGAATCCCCGTTAAGTTGGCTAAATGACTCGGCCACTTGAACAGCTCATCTACCGAGGACTGCAAATGTTCTCAAAGTACTTAATGATTGCGTGTGGGGACTTGTAAGAGTAGAATGATCATGTGTGGAGACTCGTATGAGTAGATGATATTTTTGATATTTATATGTTAACATCGATTTTTCGTTTTAAGGGTAACAAATAACTTTTGAACATACAAGCTCTATCTTAAACTGACGGCGAGTTTATGTGAAATGTGAAAAAAAATGCTGGAACAAGAGGTGACAAACTTCATATCGAAATGGAAGTACCCGGCGGAAGTGCATATTGAGAAGTTGTTAAAGTCGTAAAGTTCATTCGAACCGGCTTTGTGTGCACACTGAATGCATTGTGTTGATATGTTTTACATACATATCATTTACCAATTAATAGTGGGGCAGGCCGTTAGAAATGATAATGTTAATGTTAATGGAATTGGAATTGAAAATAGAAATGGCCATAAGCATCGCCGGCAAGCGAGAGTGTTGGCCTGTGTTGGAGGGAGTTCACTGTACCACAACCGTTGTCGGTTGCAAACCGACGCAATCGTAGCTGGGGAAAATGCCCAACTATTGTGATCGGTGGACGCTTTTCCGTTTGGCGTTTTGCATAAACTATTGTTATCTGGAACAGCTACTACAGCATTTTCATGCAAATGAGCTGCGGCCAAATGGGCCAACATGTGACACACTGACAGCCAACAATTTCAGCGAGAGTGGCCCAGTGAGCTACAGGTTCAAAGCAGCCGGAGCGGGAGCCCTTTGTGGACGGTAGCAGCGCATTTATGACCCCAATAATGACCCCAACCAGTTGTGAGCCAGCTCTGAGGCCGGCGCTGGAGAAACAAAAGCAGTGCCTGGCGAGCATTAAGAGAATTATTCTTGTTAACTGTAGCATAAATCATTTATTAACCAAAGCTAACACACACACACGCACACACATGCGACACTTTAATAAACTTGTGTTTTGGTCATAAAAGTGATAGAAGAATTAAAATGTTACCAACAACTAACAACAACTACTACGCAACAACAACAACAACAACCACCATCAACAGAGCAGTTATGTTTTTATTTTCATTTCAAAGCTCAAAGCATTTAATGCACCGTGGTTCAATGCTTGACAACGACTGAACGAATTGTTGGGCTCAAACTGAAGCTCTTGAAGAAGCGCATAAGAGTCAGGGCTGCAACATTTTTTGATGGTTTGTTTATACAATTTGATATATACAAATTCATTTATTGGTTCGCTTCAGGAGTCGACTTTGCTTTATCCAACTAATCCATTTAAAGGCTCGGTTGTATCTCTCAAAATTGACTAATTTGAAAGAAGCTGCTATAGACATAAGGCTTACGGCCGGAGAAAAGTGAAGCTATTAATGGTTAAGTTTGGTCAAAATATCTTGAAAGACAGAGTAGTTTTCCAAACAAGATCTCACCATTGAATGCATCTCGCCATATTGGGTAAATACAAATTTTGGGTGGATAATAAATTTAGCCCACAACTTCCATATGAAAATTTCTACGGCTTGCGATATTTTCAGTAGAACGGGCAATTAGAGATTAAATATGAAATTGTTTCATTTAAAATTAGAAATTTTATTACAAACAGAGACTTAACCAAAACTTGGATTCAAGGATGGAGCTCACGAATGGAACTAAAATGGAGCTAGTTGGTTTGAACCCTGAATCGAACCACCGATTTTTTCTTATTTTCAGATCTGTTCAATATACATAGGCACATATTCCGGCATTTGATGCACAATTTTTTGGTCAAGTGAACAATATATTCGTGGATTTGAAAAAAGTTGGTATATATTCACTGTATGCGTGTGTGTATTTCGCATGCAGTATATTCAACATTTGCCAACACTGAAAAATTAAATTAAAACAGCTTTCGATGGGCAGTTGCATTTGGAGCTTACCTGTAAGTAGTTGACATTTTAATTTTAATAAGCAATTGGTTTACATAAAATACAAATACGAAAGTTTTGCTGGAAAATCGTATTTCAAAAGAATGAACCACTGTGCGGCTGACCGTTTCAAAAAAGCGTGCGTCGGGAATTTTCTCTAATTAATTCATTTGTAAGTGTATGAATGTGTGTGTGTGTGTGTGTGAGTATGTGTGTGATGAGTGTGTGAGCTGTGCTCTCTGGCGGTCTGTGGCGCAGTGCGTCGCTTGGCCAAAGTCAGTTGGTGCAATACCAGCCTAGAATGAGCTGGTTAGCTCCATAAGCTCCACAAGAAGTTCCCATAATTAATTTTGTGTATCATATAATTTTTTTAATGTGAGCGTGTTCAAGTGCAAATTGAAATTGGAATTGAAAGCAGCGCAATTGAAGAGCTAACAAGTGTTGTAAAAGAGAGCAATTGGTGAACATGTGCCCGATCGGAGCTTAGCCATGAAACTGATCCTTCCAACACTGGCAGCTGTGCTGCGACTGCAGCTGCTGTTGATCTGCGGCTGGCAATTGGTGTACGCATTGGCGCCGGTGCGGCGCAACATAATCAAGGTGCGGACGAGCGGCTTTCTGCCGTTTGAATCGGATCTGGTGCTGCCGCTGGGCATATTGCGTCAGCTGCAGGCACAGGAGCGTGCCTCGCGGCTGCTGCCCCGCCAGTCGGCGCTGCGGTACGCGAGGCCGGCGCGAAGGAAACCCAAGCCAAAGGTCAACAGGCAACAGGTGCGCCTGGAGCGCGCCCATATGCGCGGCCACAGCGATGCGGATGCGGGCATCCAAATGTACAATCTGATCGATGACGATGGCGAGCTGCTGCTCAATCTGCGCGTGCACAGCGACACCACGAGCAACAGCATCGACCCGGACAGCGACACGCCCTGGCGACCATCGAAGTGGCGGCCCACAACCGGCGCACCAACGATAACATCATCCTCGCCGCGCCCGCTGCCGCTGCACCAATACCTGAGCGGCAACAGCGTGGAGCAGGCGGCAACAATGACGCAGCAGCGACGCATGTTTGGCGCTCGGCAAGATTGGATCTACAAGTAATAAGCACGCGCAGCCAAGAGCGCCCACATCTTTAATTAACAATCTTTAGCCTATTTTTACATACATATGTACATTTATTGTCAACCACACGCACCAGCACACACGCACACACGCAAGCACACACAAACAGCAAATACATTTTACTGAAGAAGAAGAAATCGTGAATAGGCCTATTAATCAGCTCGTTTAGCTCATTAGGCGCATGGTAATGGGCTGCCTGATGAGCTCCAAGCCGATAGATGACCCAGCGCACAAAAACCAGTTGCACTTTTTTGGAATATGCAGCTGCTGCGTTTAAAACCCATTGGGAATTACAATAATTTGTAATGAACGTGAAACCTGAGTCAAACATGAATATCAATGAGCTGATGATTAATAAGTAACTGTGAGTTAAGTGCGGCTCATTTATTAGTTTACTCTAATGCGATCCCAAAATTGATGGCCTGTGATGAAATGTGTAAGGTTTCAAAACACGACCTGAGAGAACGGCCAACTCTCTGCGGGGTGCCAAAAATTATTATTATATTAAAACAAAAGAAAAAAGTAAGAGTGCTCTAGCTGCCGTTGGAAGAATTCAAACTTTCCTCTAGATGCAACAATAAAAACAAACAAGGCAGCTGTGTTTCTTCTTCTCTTAGCCTGACAATGCATAAGATCGGTGTTTATTGTCCGATCCAAATAAAATGTTCAAGGAATGAATGTGACATACAAATGTGTGTAAATACCAAATTTAGGTGAAAATGGGGAGGTACCCCAAAAATCTATTCATTCTGGATATGTGATGCTATACGAAAGCCGATAGGCCAAACAAAGTTCTAAATTTGCAGTCTGTGACTATTAAAGTCTCTGAAATTGACTCATTCATATATTCGAAAGACGGACGAGCGGAAATACAAACACAGACAATAATATATAGTTAACTTATAAAGTCGTATAAACGATAACAACAACTATATTTGAACTAAACATATATGTAAAATATATTCGTATTTATATAAATATATATTTGTAATTACGAATTCACCTGTAAATTCACACGCTCGATTATATTCATCGTCATCTATTAGTAGGCGGGAGACAAACTTTTAAATAAACACATCACTGAAAGAAGAAAAAAACAGAGATAATGTTGATTAGCTTTAAAGCGCAGCTTGCTAGCTAAACCCTACTTGAAATAGTGAGAATCGCATAGTAGAGCAATATTTATAAATATTTTTTAATTCATCTTCAGTTAAGCTCAACATACGCACATATTTAAATACATACATACATGCATGTATTCAAATACATGCAAGCCAACATACATACATACGTTTGTAATAGTTTCTACATTTGTTTTAAATATTATACGACATAGTTGTGTTGCTAATACGCCCCATAGTTGAGGCCGCGGCTCCTCCTTTGCTCAAGCTGCCTCCTCATCTAATGTTAAGCCGGTGCTTCCTCCCATCCATAAGCTGTTGTCCCATCCAAAATTATAGCTGCCGCCTCCTTCATAGTTAAAGCTGCCATATCCTCTAATATTAGAGCCGCCGGCTCCTGCTTTACTCAAGCTGCAGTTTCCTCCTTTGCTTAAGTTGAAGTCTCCTCCTATGCTCAAGCTGCCGCCTTCTCTGTAGTTGAAGCCGCCGCGTCCTCCTTTGCTCAAGCCGCCTCCTCCGATTAAGGTCTATGAGTGAAGCCTATGACTTATTGTGGCTTACTTGAATTTATGAGAATCGAGTAGTAGGGCATTAGTTAAGAATACATTTTTTTTAAATTGCAGCCCAGCTAGCTATAAACTTGTTCATGCATATAAACATACAAAACATATGCATACATTTATTTACATATATATACATATGCATACATAATACATACGTATATACATGCATACAGCCATGCATATATACATTCAACCATACCTAAATTCTTATATACCTACATACATTCATATAAGCATAAATTAATACATGCTAACAGTCATATACATACATACGCATGCATACATAACACGTACAAACAAACATACTTACATACACACACACGCACTCACAGACATAAATCCATTTATGTATATACATATGTACATGCATAAACTATACATACTACATACCTCGTACATACGTACACACATCAATACATACACACATCAATACATACACACATCAATACATACACACATATATACATGCACACAAACATACACACATTCATACATTTATACAGATATTACCACATACTTGCATATATTCATACATAAATACATGGGTATATATGTACACATATACCCACATACATACATGCATGCATACATACATACATGTATTCAAACATACATACATACGTACATTCATACACACACACACACACATATGTGCATACATACATACATGCATACATACACACACATACGAACACATACATATATACATACATACATACATAGATACATATGTACATACACATATATAGACACAGTGGCAAGTATTATGCTTACAATTTTATATACATAAGTATAACTTTTTCATCTAGTTCGCGCCCGTGAAAAACTTAAATCAAACCGTACTAAGTATATAGAACTTGACGTTTTGAACTAAATTTTACAAAGATAATTGAAAATAAGTTTCAAATCTATCGAATTCAGAAGCAAAAGCTGGAATCAACTGTTTACGTCCTGATGTCTAAAATGGAACTTGCGTTTTCAGATGGAAAACAAATATATAGAGAGCTAAGGATGTTAAAATAAATGAGTTATCATTTTGGGAATGGAAAAATGATGAATTGAGATTTCATTGAGCTAAATTTTTGTTAAATAATGCTCCAATATAAATAGAAAAGATTGAAATTAATATTGTTATATCTTTGAATAGGTATTTATTTTTCAACAGAAAAAAAATGTTTCTCGCTTAAAGGACTAATGGATATCATCCAAAAAAAAAAATGGGGGAAGGGGCTACTAAAACTATTTAACAAAGGAGGTCACAGTCATGACACAGTTCAAATCACAGAACAACTGGGCACAGTTGAGGGGATTACTTCCAGCCACCGACGGGGGGCAGGTAACCGGGCTGGGGAGCTGGTGCAACTGGGGGCAGGTACTCGTTGTGGGAGACAACGGGCGCTGGGGCGACTTCTTCGTGAATGACCTTGACAGTATTCACCTCCTCATGGACATGATCGCCGCCATGGGAGTAGCCACCGGCATAGCCGCCACCGCCGCCCAAAGCATAACCGCCATCCTCGTGAATAACCTTGACAGTCTTGACCTCCTGGTGACCACCTCCGTGCGAGAAGTCTTGATGAACCGCTGGCGCCTCCTCATGAATAACCTTGACGGTCTTCACTTCTTGATGGTCATGACCGCCACCGTAGCCAATGTCGCCGCCGCCGTGCGAGAAGCCACCAGCGTAACCACCGCCGCCGCCGCCCAGAGCGTAGCCGCCATCCTCGTGAATGACCTTCACAGTCTTGAACTCCTGGTGACCGCCAAAGCTGTGACCGCCTCCGTGCGAGAATCCATGATGAGCCACTGGTGCCTCCTCGTGAATAACTTTAACGGTCTTGATCTCTTGGTGGGCGTGGCCAATGTCGTGTCCACCACCATGAGAGAATCCGCCGGTGTAACCGCCGCCGCCCAAAGCATAGCCGCCATCCTGGTGAATAACCTTCACAGTCTTGACCTCCTGGTGACCACCAAAGCTGTGATGAACAGCTGGCGCTTCCTGGTGGATGACTTTAATGGTTTTCACCTCCTGATGATGGCCACCATAGCTGGAGCCACCACCGCCATGACCATGATAAGCCGGTGCTTCCTGGTGAACAACTTTGATGGTCTTCACCTCGTGTCCGCCATGACCATGACCACCGCCATAACCGCCGCCATAACCGCCGCCATGACCACCGCCATAGCTGCCTTCGTGAATGACCTTGACGGTGCGCACCTCAGTGTGTCCATGACCATGACCACCACCGCCGCCGCCGCCGCTGCCGATGCCATAACTGTAACCTCCACCGCCGCCGCCGCCACCACCACCAATGATGCCTGCGGAACTGGTGGCAACAAGTGCGGCGAACAAACACACAAAGATCTGTAGAAGAAATTTGAGCATTAGAATTGAACCCGGTTGGGCGGCGCGGCTGCTTACCTTCATTGCTGGAAGTTTCTTGCTTGGGACGAAAACTGTGGAACTTCACGTAGCTGAAGAATGGAAACCGAAGAGGCGACTGATGACCAGCTCCAAGCAGCTGCCCGCTTATATACGCCGGCAAAACGATTATGCTGATGCGTCCGGGGCCTTGCCCAATGCGCCGTTGTTGCGGCTTTCGCCTGAAGCGCGGACCGCGCTGCTGTTTTGCTTTCGTCATCGATGCGCGGGCCCCCCAATTGGACTTTATGGTACAGTTGAGTGGCGTGGAGGGGTCGATGTGGAGCAGTAAATTGTTAAAAAATTCAAATGAGACACAAAAAACCCGTTGACCAGCATTTCCAAAAGAAAAGAGAAAAAAACACCAAGCATCAGGCATAGACAAACCGGTGCGATTATCAAAGGTAGGTCATGTCATTGCCTGACCTCGACGCCATTTACTTCGAATCCATCACTTTCTATGACCCTATTAAAGATCATCAGATATATGGGCCTAACAAACTACTCAGCTCGAAGTTCAAGCTGCATTGCGTAAGCTTTAAGCTTATGCTAAGCTTTCAGTTGAAAGTACTTTCGCTTTAGTTTATGCTTAAAGCTTCGCAGCTGTTCTTAAATGGCCTTAAAGCTCAAACAAAAGCTTTGCTGCTAAGCTTACAGTTGAAAGCACTTTCGTGCTTTTTTTAAGCTTCTGAGCTGTTCTTGAAAGCTGCTAAAAAACCTTAAAGCTGCACTTAATGTTAAACAAAAGCTTTCAACTACTTTTAAACTAGTATTTATTTAATTTGAATAACTTTAAAGGGGGAAATGGCAAAGCAACAAAAATAAGCAAAAAAAAGCCCCAAAAAAAAAACCCAGAAAAATACAACAACATTAAATTTATGTTAATGTTTGCATCTGTTTATTGTTTTATGTTTATTTCTTTTTATTTCGAAGCTGTTATTATGTTACTTTCATTGTGATCTCCCTGATTTGTTAAATCTATAACGCCCATAGCAAAGTTTTTTCATTCATTTTATTTTATCTGGTTTTATTTTTTATTGTTGCTTTTAGCTGGTTTTGGTATCAAATGGAAATCATGTCAAACTTAGTCGATTGACCAACATGGTCTTCGCTTGTGATTGTGTAAAAGTCTGCGAATTTTAAATAGCCATTAAAAATGAAATCGCACGCTGTCTTTATTTTTATTTTTTTTTTGCATTCCGCATAATAAAAAGAAAAACCAATTAATGCATTTCAATAGCATAGCAATAATTAATTGGCTTTTCATTAGGCAAATCAATCATGCGATACACCTAATCCAAAATTAAAAAACTTTGTAGATGACACTCTTTTTCGCAGCTGATGTAGTTGCTGGGAAGGTTAAAGGTTGGTATTTAGTTTAAAGCAAACAAATATTTATGGTTAATAAACTGCAATTTGTGCCAAAATATAAGCTAGATGTACCCAATTTGATGGCTCTAGCTGTTTAAGTCTTTTTTAAGATTGGTACAGATTATATTTGTACGATTTTAAGAATATATAAAAAACATTTTCCACAAAAAAAGTGTACAACAAAAGTTTTTTTCATTTATTCGTGCCCAAAATGATCAATATTTTGGCAAATTTGGCAGTTATCGGTAGATGAGTTGTCTAACTGGCAGCTAAAAAGGATGCGGGTTCAAATCCCTACTTAGTGCATTATGTTACCCACAGGCTATTGTAGTCAGCGCTATTAAGTTATAAAGCTATATTATATCTTTGAGTTATATTTTTTAATTTAGTTAAAAAATTTTTAACGATATATTCAATATTGTGACTGCACTTTATATGTTTTTCAAACCAAGCTCTGAAGCAATTCTTAACGGCATAAGACATACGAGAATCTATTATATTATTTTAGCACAAATATTGTTTGTTTTGGTGAGATCGACTCGGTTGAAGATACTGTTTGAGAACATAAGCTTTAACTTACAAGATCTTTGTTACTTTCCAATGGCAATCAGACACTTTTATGCACTCAATTTCTAAACTTAGCGTGTAGATCTTACGATAAAGTGTCAAGTTGGTCTAAGCATTGTATGCTTAATATGAAATTTATCATTTTTTAAAATCAAACCCTCTAAAATATTACTTTCAACGAGAAATTGCGAAACACTAATCCCGAGTTCACAACTAAAACCGAAAAGAATTGCAATAGGAAATCAAAAACCTAAAGTAAAAGGAATTCTTAAAGGGCTACTCAATAATTTGTTTAACATAATATGGCACAAACAATTTTAAAAAAGTGCTTTCATAGACCACCATAAATATGGTAAAACAGATACGATTATGTGCAACAGATGCACATGTGTCATATAATAATACAAAGTATTCCGTAATAAGATTTGTATCACATCCACCGAACTTTCACTTTGTTCGCGTATTGTACTGAAATGGAATGAGATGGATTGCTAGCAAAGACAAAGATAGCGCATATGGTTTATAGTTTTAGTTGTTTTTCATGTTTATCATCATCATCATCATCAGTATCATCATTATTATAATCATCATCTTAGCAATTTGTTTGTTCCAACGCCTTCTTTTAATTACATAAATTTCTACGAATATTAATTGTTAACAAAAATGAAAATTAAAAAAAAAATAGAAAAGGAATACCTTGTATCAGTGTATACTATATCCAGCGTATTAGATTATACAAATATAATAATAATATTAACAACATTACAATTATGCGTTATTAAATTTAGTGATAATGGTAATCATTATAAAAAATAAAAAAAATATATATATGTATATCGTATAGTATATGTATATAATAATTACATACATATATAGCATTTTTATAATAAGTAGTATGTATAGGATGTAAAAATATAACCATCGCTCTCAAACGATAATAAATATTAATGCTGATGACATATTTGTATCGAAGAAAATACTCGCGCATGTTATAGTGTGAGTTTGTGTGAGTGTGTGTGTTTTTGTGTGTACATATGTTGAAGCTTAGGAAGTAAGTAGGTTGTAGATTTACGCGCAATTGCGCAGCTGGTGCGTAGGCAGTTCCAGAAACCACCTACAAGCTAGCAATCACGCGATCGCACAACTGTTGCGACTGTGGCTGGTTGGCGTCTTGCATCGATTCCGGCTCTTTGAGTTTTGCGTTAACGAATTGTAGCACTGTGACGTCGTCATGGCATACGACTTGAGTGTCGATTTAACGGAGGGCGGCAGGTGCAACGAATCTATAGCATAAACACTTGTGCGACGCACAATTGTCCGACAGCAGAGCTCCTGCAGCGACAGCACTGTAAATGTATATATATATAAATATGAATTAAACTAGCGGGTATAGCCAGGCCTTGGCCGTGGCATGTGGCACAAGTAAATGCTCTCAAAAAGCTTTGATAATGATTTTGAAACTGATCGGATGGTTAACAAACAACTTTCATACAAACGATTTCCGCCAATTTACCACTGTTGCGGGTGGAATTTTCCAAATCGCTAAAACACGTTTTCATTAATTTCTACCGAAATCGCGTTCTTCGCGATTTTTCAGTCAGTCAGTCAGTCAGGAAAAACAGTTTTATATATAGAGATGATTAACTATTGACTGGGCGTGGGGGGATCCTTACCCTTGTTGCTGCGCCAAATGTGCTCCATGCCATTGCGATGCAGCGCCATGCGCGCCAATTCGCAGAAAGATTCGCGTATATTGAAATCGCAGAGTGGCGATATCTCAAAGCAGGACATATTATTGCGAGATGCGTAGGTCTCCGCCTGTTTGGCGGCCACCTGACGTTTGTAGGCCAAATGCAAGCGATTGCCCACAAGCACTTTGGGTATGCCGGGCGCATGCTACAAATACATTAAACATTTATTTTCTTAAAATTCGTTCCAATTGCGGTACTCACCTCCTCGACCTCTTTGAGCCAGCGATCGATGCCGTCGAAGCTCCATTTGTTTGTTATATCATACACTAATATAATACCCTGGGCACCGCGCGAATACGAACGTATTATGGTGCAGAAACGCCCCTGGCCGGAGGTATCCCAAATCTGTAGCTTAACCCGCTTGCCCTCCAGCAATATTGTTGTCGTTTTGTACGCTACCGTTTGCAATATGTGAGAGGTGCAATCTATATATGAGTTGGGTTATGATGGATGCATAATAACATTAAGCAAGCCTCTTACCATTGCCACTGCAGAAGGGGCTCTCGGTTGAGGGATCCTCAAGATTAGAGAGTATTTCATGTTTACCCACATCGCTGTCCCCCACCAGAAGCACCTTTAACAGATAATCGTAGTCTTTTGTCATGGTTCTCATATAGCTGAACCCTGTTGCTGAACCTGCTGCAACAATAACAAAACAAAAAAAAAAGCAGGTTAGTTACCATTTTTAACAAGCCAAAGAATGCGAGACCAAGTTCTTGTTGCTTGTGGCTGTTGCTCGGCTCCGGCTAACCGGTATGGGCGGAGGGAGGGGAGGTGTATAAGCTGCGCCAGATAAGCGCACACACACACACACACATACACGCACACTACGGACAGAACACACAAACTGCAAGGTGCCAAAGTCGAACCGGCAATTTTTTTATAATGTGGGCAGAGTAACATTTATCTAGTGAGTCATTCAGCAGAGACACACAGATACAAATAGGTTCGTGCACACAGCTGTGCATATGCAAATGGGCGTGAATCCACCAAAAATATATATACATACATATAAATATATATAATAAAACCTAGTAGAAAAAAAAGGCAAGCAGTTTCTGCTTTTCGCCGGTTTGCACCACCCTACGCTGCGCATTAGGGTGTTCGTTGCGTTTGTTGCCTATTTGGCTGGCCAGTCATTTGGGTGTGTTTTGTTTTGCACCGCACGCGAGGCGACAACAACAACGAAAAGAACAGCAGCAACACATCAGGCACACACTCATACACACACACACAGGAAAACAATGGGCAAATTATACAAACATTAAGGCTGACACTCACACACGGCAATAGTATTTTAATGTATTGTACAGCAACAGCAGCTATTTATTGTTTACGCGCAACATTTGCATTTTTTCGTTTTTAAATTTGCGAAAAAAAACACGCGAGCATAGAAATTGCAGCACAAACGACAGAAATTTATTTTACCCAAATACGCATATGCACATCCGAACAGAGTTGCAACCACATGCACTTATCGCTAATCTCGCGCTATCGATGGAATTCGCATACTATCGATGATTTTCTTCTTTTTTTGTTTTGATTACACTGGCTTTCGAACCAATCCAAAGAACACTACGTCGTTTTCATATTTTGGAAAAATTGCAAAAATGGTTAATTATATCGAGCTACAAAGTGATCTACAGCATAAAGCAGACGCCAATGCAGAGGCACTAAAGCTAAAAAGGCGTGTGATAATAGTCCGTTACATTCTGGTGTTTGTAATTGTCGTATTTATATGCATTAGCCTGCTGCCTCTTTGTTTTCCAACGATTTATCAAAATGTTGAGCAACAACAACAACGGCACAGGCAACAAAAACAACGTCTTGTTTGCTATTATTCGGCTTCCGGAATCGATAAATTGCGCCTGTTGGATATCCCCGGGGATTTGTGCACGCACATCAATATTGGCATTGCCAACTTGTTCAATAGGACTCTGCATTTGTCGCCGCGCCTGGAGCAAGTGCTGCAGAATGAGACTCGCCTGTTTCGTGCCGCCCATCCGCAGGTGCATCTACTGCTCTGGATTGGCGGAGCCGACACTGGGCCTCAGTTTGCAGACATGGTCGTGAATCATGAACGCCGCAAACAATTCCTGAGCTCGCTAAGAGCCGTGTTACGCAAATATCCCAGCTTGGATGGCATCGATCTGGATTGGGAGTTTCCAAGCGCCTACAACAAGGAACGTGTGCACTTCTCCCAGTTACTGCACGAAATTCGACTGGAATGGCGACGCGAACAATGCACCAACAATCTGCTCACTATGGCCGTGGCAGCGCCCGAAGGCATCGCATTCTTTGCCTACAACATACGTGAAATCAATCTGTACGTGGACTATGTGAATCTGATGACCTATGATTTTCATTTCTATCGCGAGGATACGCCGTTCACCGGCCTAAATGCGCCGCTCTTTGCCCGTCCCATGGAGCATTCCATTATGGGCACCTTCAACATCAACTACACCGTGCACTGGTGGTTGCAAAATGGATTGGAGCCCAAGCGTTTGGTCATTGGCCTGCCCACCTACGGGCATTCCTTTACGTGAGTGTAACATTGTACTTAGTGTAATCTTCAGTGTATTCATTCAAACCCAAATCTTGACAGGCTTGTTAATCCACTAAACACGGGCATAGGAGCGCCTGCCTCGGGCTTTGGCAAGTGTGGCCGATTGGGCTTCACCACGCTTTCGGAGACCTGCGAGTGCGCCAAAAGTTACCTGTCGCCAAACTACACATTCGACAATGAAACCTGTTCCCCCTATCTGAATTCGGTGCAGGAATGGATATCATATGAGACCACAAAGAGCATTGCATGCAAAGCAAACTATGTCAAGGCCTTGAACGTCGGCGGCCTAATGATCTTCTCCCTGAACACGGATGATCTGAACAACAACTGTGGCTATATGACGGGCGGTTCAAGAAATGTTGCTAAGCCTGTTTTTCCACTAGCCAAAGCTGCCAATACAATCCTAAGAGGTTCCTGAAAGTTGGTGGTAAGAAAGGTTATTAAGCTGTGGGTGCCAAATAAGAAACTGTTTTAATGTATTATAGTTATATTTGGAATCGTTTAACGATAGTTTCCACACGCGGTTTGTTTTATGTCTGTTGATATGATAAGTAGATCAAATGTTACCTATACTGTTTTTTTTTTTTTTTTGGTATCAATAAGAACACTCATTATTATACCTTTACTGAGACTATTATAATGCTGTCATATATTTTTATATATACTCGATTAATATTAGCAGCAGAGTTGATATATATATATATATAAGACTTGTCTCCCAGCTCGTTTGGTATTTTAAAGTATAGGACAAGTATTTCATATGTCTGCTCTAGGCCAAGTACATATTTATATAAATAGATCGTTATTTTACAAGAATATTTCATGTTCGGCACACCAAAGATCGCGGCTTTATTTTTTTTTAAATATCTCCTTTGCGGCTATAGCGTACCGAAAAAAAACGTACAGTATAAACAATTATCTAAGAATTATTTCTTTAATATATATATATATGCATAAATATAAATAAAAATTATCACAATCGATCCATATTCATAATATAACTAGAAATTTTAACACGCAAAATATATTTACTTGTATGTTAATATGACCATTATATAATTATTTGGATGGGGTAGCTGTGTGGCGTAGTGGGGCAGGAATATCTTGTTGTTTGTTAGGTGACATACATAAATAAGCAAAAGGAATGGAAAAAACTGCTTCGTTAAATAATGCCCGAAGGAAAGCATAATACATTGCAGTTTGTTGGGGGAGAGAAGTCGATCCGACTGGATTGCCGGCTGTTAGGTACGTCTCAGCCATGCCAGGGACGGCAATCATGTGTGCTTGGGCGTTCGCTGCAGATTTGGTGGCGGCGCTGCGAGCAGCTCATCGATTTGTATTTTATACGCCTGCTTTAGCTCTACCAGATCCAGTTCCAGCTCCTCGGTCCTCTCAACCTTCTCGCCGTACATCTGCAACAGCGCATCGTAGCGATGCTGCAGATCCTCATAGCATTTCTCCATGGCCTCGTATGATTGCACTTTCTCCTTCAACTGCAAGCAACAGAGAATTTTATTGATAGCTACAATATTTGTGCACCTGGTACTGTTCTAACCGTCTCCATTTCCATGGTCAAATTTGATATTTCATTGTCCAGCACGCCGCGTTCCGCCTGCAGACGCGACAGTTCCCACTGCAGATGCGTTAGTTCGCCATCGCGCTGCTTGAGCAGCGCCTGCAGATGCTCGAGCGTTGTGGTATTGCCGGCCAAAAAACTCAAATGCACACCCTGAATCATGCCCGACTGCTGTCGTCCACTATTGGATGCACATTCCATTTCATCCTGTTGGCGAACATTAGCATTAACATGGTTTAAAATTGAGTTTACACTTTTATTTATGTGAACTAAATTGATTTGCTTACGCCCTGCCAGTCAATAATTCCGCCCAATGTATCCTCATTGGAGCCGCTCTCATCGGCCAGGCTGAGCGGCGGCGAGACGTGCAGCGGCTTCTGGCAGCGGTTCTCCGACAGCTCGCTGCTGGCCTTGACTGCCTCCACGGTGAGCTCGCTGCTACGCTGGAAGGCGTGCAGTTTCCGCAGCTCCGCCTCCAGCTGCTGGCACTGTTCGGCCAATTGCTCCAGCTTGTCCTGGCGCTGCTTCAGTTGCGCCTGGAGCGTGCTTAACTGGCTAGACAGAGGGAAACCAAAAGCGGATTCAAGCTAGCCTTATGGCATTATGGATAAGGTTAATTGTGTGCTCGCACCTTTTGTAGTCATTTTCTTTGATTGTGGCATCCAGCTCCTGCTGACGAAGCTGTATTTTAGCGCTCTCCGACTGCATGAGCGCATTGGCTAACTTCTCCTCGAGCAGATCGCAGCGTGTGCGCAACAGTTCCTGTTTTTCTTGCTGCACTGTTTCGAGCTGCTGCAGCGAATGCAACTGAGACTGTGCATCCTCCAGTTTTTGCAGAAGCTGCTGCTCATCCTTGTTCCAGCTGGCGGTGCGCTGATTCAGCGTCTTCTGCAGCGACTCGATTTGCCGTATGAGCGGCGTCGTCGAAACGCTCAGCTCCTGCGTACTGCTCTCGGCACGCAGTTCGGCCGCTTCAAGACGACGTAGTAAATCGCGTTTCTCCTCGCGCATCTGCTGCTCCCGCTTGACCATGTTGTGCTCGGTGACACGCAGCTTTTCGCGCATATCGGTCAACTGCTGCACATACTCCTGATTCTCGGCCTGCATTTGGTTCTGTTCGTGCCGCTGGCGCTGCTGCAGATCACCTTTCACACCATCGAAGCTCGCCTGCAGCGCCGCCAGCTTCGATTGCAAATCCTCGATGCGACTTCGGCATTCGGCATTTTCCTCATCCACGCGCCGCTTCTCATTGGTCATGCGGCAAACAGCCTCAATTTGAGTGCGTTCCATTTCCTCTTTGGCGGCCAGGGATTTTTTCAAGCGCTCCGATTCGCTGGATAGCTGTGAAATTTGCTCACCATTCTTCTTCAGCAGCGTATCGGATGTTTTCTCCTTGGCGCGCAGCTTCTTGATAATGTTAGACTGTTGCAGTATCTCCTTGGACAGTTTCTCGCCCTCGGACTGAAGTGCACTGATCATTTCATTGCATTCGGTCAGCTCATCCTTGGGTATCTTATTGAGTAGCTCGTCCTTAAGGCTCTTGATTTGTATGCGCAACGCATCCCGTTCGCGTATGCTCGCCTGAAACTTCTTCTCCAGCGCCGACAGACGCTGCACTGCCTCATTGGCTTCGCTGCTATCGGCGCTGTTTTTAGCCGCCTCCACATGGGCGCACAACTGCTGATTGCGCTCAAGCAGCTCCGCATTTTGGCGCTCTGATTGCAGCAGACGCTGCTCTCGCGCCTCAATAACCTGATTCAGCTCGCTAATGCGATGCACCAGCTTATCCAGTTCAGACTGTGAGTCCTCCGACAGCAACGAGATCTCCGATGGCTCTCGGTGGTGTCCCTTGCTTTTAATGCCATGCAGGCTATGCGCATGGCCCTTAACACTCCCGCCGCACAGCTCTTTGAACTTTTGGGGACTGGTGCGCGTTGTGGTGCTATTTGTGCTGGAATCACCGTTCGGATTCGAAATGATCTCAATGTCCGATGATGTGGACGAGTAGCTCTGGTCGGGCAGCTCCGTTTTGCTGCCATGCTGGCATGCCTCGGTGCTGGCCGGACTGCCTGCCGACTTGCTTTTGTGGCTTATCTGAAGCTGGATGTCTTCAAAACTTTGCGTGGAATCCGAATCAGCACCAGCGCCAGCCACATTAACAGTGGCCTGCGTGTCGCTAAATACCAATGCCTTCATGGTTTTGGTAGAATCTACAAGAATAATCAGAACGAGTTGAAAAATGTTTGAGAAATTGTTCTAAAATTCAATACGTTGATTTAAAATAAAAGAGAGTAGAATACAAATTAGTAATGGTAGTGAATGAAGAGTGAATCTCACCATTCAAATGCAGTGAGTGATCATCGTGATCCAAGTTAAGCGGTTGCCCATCGTCCCCATCATCATCGTCATCGCCATTATCAGCATCTTCATCGTCATCGCCATCCGCATTGTCAGACGTGTCATTGCTGGCTATGATGACTATACTATCTGGCAGCGATGGTTCTGTGTCGGGCGACATATTCATTTCCATTTCACTAGCCGTTGTCGGCGCTGTTATAAGCTCCAATGATGACTCGGAGTTGCGTAAACAACCGGCACCACTTGGCGACGTGGGCGATGGCGATGATAGCAAGTCCACGGAATCTGACGTGGCTGACTGCCGTTTCGCAAACAGATTGGCCGTGGCTGGCGTTGAGGCATCGCTCGCTCTGGGCGGAATAGTTACCATCTCGTTGGCATGCGGATTATCATAGAACGTGGCCCCATCTATTGCTGAAGTATCCAAAGTGCTTGGCGTTACTGCCTTGGCGCCGGGCGTGGATGCTGCACTGCTGCTGCTGCTCGCCGCAGTGCCAGCGATGCCACTGCCAACGTGATCGGTTGCCTTGTTGTCATCATCTTGGATATCCAGCGCCTCAATTAGAACAGTTTTGGCTTTTTCGAACCAACTCATGCCGCCTGCTAGTGTTCCAATGCGCTTGCTGTGATACGCTTAGTGGCCGCAGCACATTAATTAGTAAATTATTTGGCAACAACTGCGATTTTACAAGCACGAACACATAATTAAAAAAAACTTTTATTTCTTAGCTGGTTGGCAGCATCAATGAATATCGTACCAATATTTCGATATTTTACTATCGATTTCAATTTGTCTGGCACTACATTTAAATTGGCAACGGTTCTCAAGGCTGAGACAACAATTAAAATAAATTTTCATTTGCGTACAATTAACAATTTTGTTAATCTACTTCGATCAAAAAACAAATATATATGTTCTAAATGAAGAGATCATCACCATCGATACGATTTTTACTCTAGTGGGCCTTAGTTATAATCGATTGTGCGGTTGTGTATCGCTATCAGCTAGACATGTGTGCTGGCATTGTGCAACACCGAACGTTGCGATAATTAGTTGTGGTGGTCGGCCAATATATTGTGGTGGTCAAAAGCAAAGCAAAGAGTACACATAAAACGAAAACGGAGATGTTAAAAATAAAATAGAGAAAACGGAAACAGTAATTTAAATTGCGAGTGGTTATCAAGCGGATTAAGCATTGTTACAGTTCACGACTATTTTGGCTTTCGGTATAAAAACAACAACAACAATAGTCAACTACGCACCGACAACGGACACCAACACCAAGAACCAACACCGACACTGACACCGACGACCGACGTACGATTAACGCCCTCCCTACGCTCCGCACTTTTGGCAACCGCACACACACACTGACGCACACACGCATACACTCCTCTCTACATATAATCATCATCATTATCATCATCATCATCATTATCATCATCATTGCACAGGCGAAGGCACAAGGCACATAAACACTCAAACACTTATCTATATACCGCGTTTATCAACGCCGCCCGTCGCCGCCACCGCTGCTGACCCACCACCCCCCCACCAGCCTGATCCACAACATCAACTTTGTTTGCTATTGTTGTCTGCTGCTGCTGTCATTTGTTTTGTTTCCTTAAATGTGAACGCACACACACACACACACGCATGCAAACACCTACAGACACGCGCAAAGTACGAAGGAGCAAACAAAGACGGCTAGAAAAGTAAAAAACTGCAACAAAAACAACGGAGCGAGAGTGACTCCATTGAGAGCGAAAGCGAAAAGTGCAATAGAGAGCGCGAGTGGAAAAGTGCAAGCCTAAATAACAAAACGATCAGCGATCGCGGGGCGTAGGGGCAGCGGGGGGCAGAGGCCGTGCGAGAAAGTCAAACTCAAACTCTATGGGTCAAAAGGCAAGCACACCAGCGACCAGCGGCCAGCAGAGCCCACGCTCCAGAACATTCTCCAGCAGCTCCACGGGTGCAACCGCAACCGACACAACGCCGCAAAGTTCAGCGGTCGGTGGCCGCGGCGGCGATGCCGGTCAGGGTTTCAACTTGCTGCGCACACTGCCGGGTCTACAGGTCTATCACCATCAGCACAATCAGCAGAACTCCACGTCTATAGATCGCCAGCGTGCACGCAGCCTTAGCTCTGTGCCAGATATACAACAACAGCAGCAACAACAACAGCAGCAGCAACAACAACAACCACAGCAGGGATCCACAACGTATCCGCACACACATCCCGCCGTCTCAGTCTCTGTGTCATCTAATTCAAATAGCAATAGTTTCCAAGTGGCAGCCGGCAACAACAATGGCTCATCGGCTGCCGCACAAAGCTACATGCAACAGCGACGAGCTTTTGGTGACTCAATACGCGTAAGTTGCGCCCCCTCCACACACACACACACACGCGCGCACACACAAAGAGACTCTCGCTCTTCTAACTTTGAGCTATTCTATCTCTATGTGCAGGAGATGTCCATGACCGGCGCCAATATCGTTGAGAGCATCGCAATGGCTGCATCTGCAACATCTGCGAATGGCATCGGTCGTGTTTACACAGCGACATCGCTGCCATCGCACATTTGGTCCTTCAATGGTAAATACGATCCATAAATAAACCATATATATACTATATATATATATATATATATATATATATATGTATATTTACCTTTTCTCTTCGCAGGCATCAAGTGCCCCGTGTGCAATAAGTTCGTGTTGCCAGACGATATTGAATGCCATTTAGTTATGTGCCTAACAAAACCACGACTCTCATATAATGGTATGCGGTGCAAGAGTGCCACAAAATGTTTACGACAAAATTACATGTTAAATGTATATGTTTTTTAGAGGATACATTATTGGACGCCAAGGGCGAGTGCGTCATATGCCTTGAAGACTTGAGTCCAGGTGATACAATTGCTCGATTGCCATGTCTATGCATATACCACAAAGGGTGAGTCTGCTAAATGTTAAATTTTCTATGCTTATATATATACTATATACTGGACATTTCCATTATATTTTGCAGCTGCATTGATCGTTGGTTTGAGGTGAATCGCTCCTGCCCCGAGCATCCAGGAGATTAGTAAAAATCTCATTAGGTAATGCCCCATATATCATGTGTGTGTGCGCGCGCGTGTGTGTGTGTGTGTGTGTGTGTGTGTGTGTTTATATATATATATTGCTGATTAGTAGCTTTCATAAATGCAAAATTCTTTTTATTTTTTATTTTACTTTTTGTTTTGGCAAACACATCTTGAAATGCGCCAGTGATATGAATAATTGTATATAGCAGTCGCATGACTTCCCAACAAATTATTAATATATTAATGTATTCTTTTTGTGTATGTAATGTGCATATTGATATGTAAATGTGGCTTTGTCATATTGGGAACTCTATGTAATTTGTATCTCGCCAAGTACTTGCATATGCATGCGTTGGCATTTGACATGCATATATGTATACATATACTTCTTAATGCATTGTATTTGTATTTCAGAGCTCGTTAAGTCGTTTAACGTCTAAGTGGGCAGTGCGTAGAGCGAGTGCCATAAACAAAACTGGATGATAGACGACTTTTCAGCAAGCATTTGTATGTATACTATATGGACATTAATATTTATATATATATATTGTAGAAAATCTATTGTGTATTGTACTCACTAATTTTGCATATTTGCAGGTTAGCAACAAAAAGCCAACATTGTAAAGATCATCAATTGTTAAAAGGAATGGAAAATGAAATGAGAGGAGAGGCTACGACAAGCAAAATTTGGATCGAGCGATCGATCGTTTTGACCTACCGACCGACTGTTTATGCAAATCCACAAAAAACAAACACAAATCAATTGAAACAAACTAATTTACAATGCTATCACAACTAGCAAGTGCAACGTCAACAAACAAAGGACAAAGGACAAAAGTGAACGAAACCAACCAACCCACAAACAAAAAAAGAAATAAATAAGAAAGCAAAATCAACACGATGTTAAGAATGATGTAAAGATAAAGTTAATGATGATGTAAGTGCATGAAAGCGAAGCAACCAACCAACCAACAAAAGAATGTCAACCAATGTGATGTTAAATTTTATATTTTGTACTATGGATATGATGTAATTGTAATGTAATGTATATGTATGTATGTATTTATTATTTTAAAAAACAAACTAAAATAGGATAAACACAGAACAACTAAAAAACTAAAAAAAAAAAAAAAAAACAACAAACACACACTATAAATAATTATGCTTAATTAGTAAACAAAAGCAAAGCAACCAAAAACAAAAAAGGATGAAAGCCTTACTTTAAAAAATTGATATACTATGTCACTTTATGTAATTGTTTTTTATTTCAAATTTTTACAAATTCTTTGTGTTTATCCATGTCATAAATTAGTTATTGCTATTTATATTATTTTTATACACACCCAGTTTTTTTTTGTTATAATTGTATTTTGTTTGTATTGTTAATTTGACTAAAAAAATTTTTAAAAAACAATGTTAAATGAGAAAATATTTCAAATATTGAACCATCTGTCATGTGAAAATTCTGGTCAAACGAATGCTTAAGGCAATTAACTGTATTTCAAGTTTAAAAACTGGCTAATGGAGTTCCTGTCCTAGACAAAGGGTATCCAAAAAACAAAATAGCCGCATTCATAAGCCGAAACGTTACGTAGCCTACAAGCTGTGCCGTACATATGCATATATATAGAATATAAAACGAAACTATTATTTAGTGTTCGGGTTTTTTTTTTTTTTATATTATTTTGTAATTTAATAACAACTTTCCTTAGCCGCAGTTGCGGCGGAAATGGATGACGACAGCTCGTAAAGTTCTTGTGTAAATTATATATATACGTATATATGTATAGTATATACATTTATATGAATAAATAGATATGTATACATTAAAATACTGTACATATATAAAGATATAATTGTATAACTATAGCGTTAGCGTTCCGCATTGAGCGTAACCGTAAAGGTAACATTAACGTTAACTGAAAAATGATTTTCCCAACACAAACAAAATGAGAACAAAAGAAAATAGTTACAAATGAAAACAATATTTATACATATACATAGCTGGAATTTTCATTTATAATAGTACTTGTTTGTAAAATACATTGAAATACATACACACACACACACACAAAGAGATAACAACAAAAATAGCTGTAAGCGAGAATCCCAATAACGTTAATGTTGATTTGCAACAAATACCTAAAAACAAAATGAATTAGCTGGTGACATGTATGTCTTGATCCTATTAGGAACATTTAAAACTTTTTACACCCTATCCAACGGAAAACAAGAACAACAAAAATATAATCGTAATTGATAAACGAATGATTACCAAGTAAAATGACAACCGATGGGAAAAAGCTAATTGAGATAAAAAACAAAAAAAATTTAGGAAATAAACGAGTGATTATATATAAATACATTTATTCAAGCTGATGGCACTTTTTTTATTAATCGAAATTTTAAGCGATCTTGAACTTTGTCTTAAATAATTGATTGAATTGTAATTGCAATTGAATGGTCCTGGATAGTCCGGTAGCATTGAAAATTATTTTGTTTTATTTTGCTTTTAACTTGGATTTATTCGGAACGTCTGATCTATTTCAGTTATCCTTAGTTGTTATTTTCGTAGAAATTTGAAGATTATATCTAAACCATTTAAAAGATATACATACCTGGGAGGAACGCATTCAAAAATTATTTTACGCGTACTGCGGTCGATTTAGAAAAAATACCTTGCATTTGCTAACAATGTGATCCGCTCCTATTAGTCCAATTAGATTGTCGCTGATCTATCTGATTCCATTTGCCAAAAGATACGTGTCCATTTGTGTTCTCAAAACATGCGTTTTTCTGAAAGTTTAAAAAAAGGTATTGTGCATTTATAAATTGGCTTCGAAACTACCTCTGTTTTACAATTATATGGCATTTAAAAAAAAAAAATGTCAAATTTTGATTAAAAAAAATTTGGAAACTAACCTCTGGCCAAATCGAGAGAATTGCTGCGGAAGTTCTTTTAAATGTATCGATTATAATATCGATGACTTGTTACCCATCGCCGGGGAAGTCCCAAAAATCCAACTAATTAAAACACATTAGACTTATCGTGTATTACTCGTTAATGAAGATCGCATTTAATCACCGCAAAAAAATAATAAACAAAAAAAATGTAGGCTGTAAATAAACAAATGAATTAACAAATCCAACTGGAGCACATCTCCCAAAAGATGCGCCACGCCTGTTGATGTATGAATGTACGCGTGTGTGGGAAATGTATTTAATAATATGGGTATAGGATAGTTAGGTAAAAACGATTAGAGCCTAAATTAAAAAATTTTCCAAGCTTAAAATTAAATACATGATATATAATATGAGGTTTTTCGTTTCTCTCGTTCATTTGCGAGGGGCGGTTAAAAGTTTAATAAAAAGAAGGATGCGTGTGGGTTTTTGTGTGTGTGTGCTTAAAATGAATTAAAATCTGAAATTTTCAGCGGCTGCGAGAACTGTTCCAAGGCCTGTCGAGTTGCTTACATTTTGGGCGAGTCCCGAACTGCTAGCCCCACCAGGCGCTGCATCCTTCGACGCCACCCGCTCAGCACCCAGCACTGTGGGTGGGCGGCGGTGTGGGCGTTTGGGCATCGCATTGAGCTTTGAAAGCAACCGAAACGATATTGTCTTTGTGTCTTTCATGTTCAATTGTTCATTTGTTTTGTTTGTTTGTTTTTTTTTTTTCGTTAAATCAACTATACTTTGAGTATGGGCAGGCTCTGTGTGTGGAAGTGGATGGGAGCGGCGCGATCGTTGCGCCCCTAAGCGGCAATTAACGCCAGCCTGAGCGTGTATATACATACATATATACATATGCAATATATACATATATATATTTACATATATAAATATATATTTCTGACAGCAGGCATTGCACTTTGCAGCGTCCAGTCCAATCCAGTCCAGTCACTGACGTCAGCCCCGATCATAATGCGTTATATGCGATTTATATGCCCGTTTGCCACTGTTGGCATGTCCGTTGTGCTAGACCCATGGCGTCCAGCCCTCATACAGTACGGCCAGATTGTCCGGATTGGTAGCTTCGCGTATTACATAGTCCACCTGTTCGGCAACGGTGGTGCGCTGATTGCTGTCCGGATCGCGTCCCTCCAGTTTCATGCGTATCTTCTTCCAAACGGATACGCCATATGCATTGCGTTTCTGCTCGTGCAGATTGGCTGCACCTGGAAGTGGGATGTAAGTTGAGACTGTGATTGGAACATGTTGGCATTTGTGGCGATTACCCTTGTTATGCGTAAACGTTTCGTATGGCAGTGATTCGCCTTCGGCGGCATGTTGTAGATAGTCGTCGATGCTTCTAAAGAATTGATCGACATCGTGGCTGGCCAGTTGCTCGATTTGCTGCAGCTGCTGTTGCCAATTGGAGAGCGTGTCGTGGCGCAGAGCATGTCGCTCGCTGTTTAACTCCTTTCGCAGATCTAGCAGTCGCTGGAAGAAGTTCAAGAGTGTGCGTTGGGAATCGCGCACATGGCCACAAAGCAGCTGCACATCAAGCGGCACCAGTTTGCCCTGATCATCGGCATCGGCACACAGGCTGCGTGTGTAAACCCGTGGCATCTGCTCCTGGTGACGCTGCATGGCAAGATAAACAAAAAACAAATAAACATTGTCAGTGGTTTTGCCAGGCTTTGGATGGAAATTGCCATACGATTTACCTGCATTTCCTTGAGCAACGTGCAAATGTATCTGTGCCTGCTCTGCTGTTCCAGCTCCAGCGTTGACAATTCGCGCTGCACCTTGCACGTGTAATCCTCGAGCAGACCCTGCACATTCTCCACCCAGCACTGATCGATGGCGCCCTCGGGATCCAGCAGCTGGACAATGGCCTGCTCGACGGCGCTAATGCGCGCATTGCTCACCTGCCATTGATGATGGGCTTGCAGCCACTGCTCCATGTTGTCCAGCAGCAGCTTTTGCTGCTGTCCGACAACCAAGCCCACCTGCTCCATGCTGCACAGCGCACTGGCGCATTTGCTTAGCTCATTAATCACGTCCAATTGATCGCTGGTCAGCTGATGCTGCAGCTGCTCGTTGCGCAGCAGGCTGTCGATGTGATTCCGATTCCAGTTGCTGCGCTGGCTCTGCAGCTGCTCCAGCTGCGATGCCAGCCGACGCTGCAATCGCTGCATGGCCAACGAGCTCTCGGCCAGGGTCTGCCAGTTCTGGCTGATGGCCTCGCACAGCTTCGGCCGGCTTATGATGTGGCCGCAGGGCAGCTGCTCGCTGTCCAGCAAATCGCCATAGGCCCAATAGTGTGCCGTTGCGATCAGCGTCTGTGTCTCGATGCGCTGATTGAACAGCGCAATCTCGCACTGCTGCTGCTGCAGGGTCGCCTCCAACTGAAGTGCCGCAAAGAGGCCGTCGCACAGCTGCAGCAAATCCGCCGGACACTCGCTGTCGGCAACCAACTCTTGGCCGCGTGCGCCACAGCAACTGGTATAGTAGGCATACGAAAGCATAGGCACGAGTCCAACAATGTACTCCAATTGTAGACGCTGCACAAAGCCCAGCAATGGGCCACACATCAGTCGCATGTCGTAGCTCTTGCTGGCAGCCAGCGTCTGCAGCACGAGCTCAAAGAAGGTGCTATTGCCCAACTGATTGCCGGCGTATTTAAGTATGTTAAGCTCCTGCAAAGATTTTGAACACATTGTATTAATATAATTGTTATTTTAGCTAAGGACAAGGGCTTTAGTCTCTGTCAGATCAATATCCGATAGGGATAGAGCTTATTTATGTTGTTCGTATCGCGGCACAAATTTCCAGAAATGTATATTACATCTGCTTGACACTCTTCTTCTATTATATTTCATATATATTTATCTTTGCAAAGCTCATCCAATCTGACTATAGTTGACCTTTCTCTCTCACTTATTTATCTTCATTATATTATTGGTTCTTTTATATACATATATATTTATATATATTTTTCATGTATCTCTGTCTATTCATATCTAATTGTAGGATTGGATAGATTCTCCTGCGTTCTATCTTTGTCTTTGTCTCTTTCATAGATACTACCTCACTTTCCCTCATCCTATATGCATATATATCTAACTGACCTCTCTCTCCCTCTCTCTCTATCAGTTTGCTAATCCCCAAGCTTCAGTTAAAGTAAATTAAATTAAATTAATCCCCTTGATTGCTTGATTGATTGACAAGTGCTTTTAGTCACTAAGCTAGGCATTTACCATTAAAGCTTTTAAGTGCTTTAAAAGCTACAAAAAAACTTGCAATACTTAACTTTTTAAAGAGATTAATTGTATGTGCAAACCAACTCATTTCGCATCATGCAAAAGACAAGCCGTTTTTGGTACGAAGCGTTCATGTGCTTTCATTTGAAATTCTAAACACATAATGATTTTAATTTTTAAACAATTTAGTCTCTCTGAATGTTATATTAAGCTTTAAAGAATTGCACAGCAGCTTAAAATATATATTCTTTAGCTGATTGAGCTCAATCGAAAGTTACAGATCGCTCAAAAGCTTTAATGAGCTTTCATCTAAAATGAGATACTGCAAATGAGCTTAATATCTAACCTCTTCAATGCAACCTTACTGATAGAAAAGGATCAATGTTAATATTGAGCTTTAATCAGACGCAATGCACTGTTCTCTAGCCTTGGCTTTGTTGGCAACCTCTGAGAAGCTTTAATGAGCTTTAATTTTTTAAACTATGCTTGGATTAACGTCCAAACGTGCGTATTATAGCTATTAGCTTATGTCACTCACCATGTACTGCTGTGTCTGCACGTCCTGGACATCGTCAATAATCAGTTTAATGTTGCGCGCCATGCGCTCCAACGCCTCGGTGAGCTGCTCGAACTGCTCGTAGGCGGGCTGCAGGGCCTGCATGAACTGCTGCTCCAAAGCTGAGGGAATTGCCAGCTGCTGCTGCTGCTCCTTTGACAGCTGCTGCTGCTCTTCCGGCTGCTGCTGCTGCAGTGATATAGCTCGCAGATAACGTTTGCCCAATGTCTCGCTGCTAAGCTGCAGCAGAGCGTCCAACTGATCCAAGTTGGGGCACAACAGCAGCAGGCGGAACAAGCTGGCAGGCAGATCGTGCTCGAAACTATGCTGCAGCTGAATGAGAGCGGCGAGCACCTCCTGCAGCTGGCTGAGCGGATCATTGGCCTGATCCATGGACTCCACAACGCTCTGGCACATGGAGCGCACCAGCTGAATGTGTTGCAATTGATGCTGCGTCAATTTTGAATCCTGGGCATTCAGAGCCGACTGCTCGTAGCCACTGAACACACTGTTCGCTTCGTCCAGGGTGCGGCTGAGCGCCGCATTGAGCAGCGTCTGGCTCCAGCCGCTCTGTCCAATCGCCGCGAGCAGAGAGTGCGAGGGCGTCTGCGATTGCGCCAGGGCCTGCTGGTTGGCAAAGTGCTGCGTCAACTGATGCAGCTGACAGTTGAGATCCATCCAGACCGACTCCAGGGTTTGGGCAGCGCTCAGCTTGTTGGCGGCATCGATGTCGGTCAGAGTCGCCGCCGTGCAGCTGCTTGTCTCCCCGTTCTGCAAATAGCCCGCATAGGTATCGCGGAAGCGCACATAGATGTTCTCGCGTTGCCGTTGCTCCGGATAGAAGGCCATTATGGCCGCGTACTGCTGCATGTGCTCCACACACTGCAGTCCCAGATCATTGAGCCGGCCGAACAGCTCGTCCAGCTGGCTGCGTGTGCTATCATAGCTCTCCAGTGTCTGTGGCGGCAGATGGCACTGCACCAGCTCCACCAGGGCCAGATACTCATTATGCCAGCTGCTGCCCTCCAGCTTGAACTGAATGAGCCGCACATTGAACTCGGCCAGATGCTGCTGCTCCAGGCACTGGCCATAGCTGGCGAGCAGGCACTGCACCAGCTCATAGTCCACCTGACGCACTTTCGCCTGGCGAGCCAGCATCTCCGAGTGAAACAGCTTGGCGGCATAGCGCGGCGATGCCGTATTGAAGCTGTGACTCTCGATGGCCGTGCCCAGGGAATTGATTTCGGCTATTAGAGCGCTTCGCTGGTTCAGCTTCGACAGCTCCTGCTCCGTGGACTGACGCTGCGTTTGGATCTGCTGCAGTTTCTCAATCTCTCGCACCATGTCCGTTAGCTGTGGCAGCATTTCCAGCCTGTCGAATATACGTGGGGGAAGGAAACAACAGCAGTTAGTGAGAGAACCTTTTTATACTCTGGGCGGAATAATAAGGGTATCCTGAAGTCGAGCAAATGTTTTGAACAAGCCAAAGGAGGCATCTTCTACTCCCTAAAGGATAATGAGCTGAATCGATGTGAGTCCCTTAGGACTTAAGACTCAACTATAGAATAAAATTGTTAATTTGTTTCCTTTCTTTTATCTCTCTTCTTTTAAAACCTTGACATTTATCCAAAATCGATAAATATCGATCATTTGACACTTTTTTAAAGCATATCTCTGACAACGTGTCTCATACAATAAGATCGGGTCGGGCTTAGTCTGGATTTTAGGTACAAATATTGCCATTCCTGAACAACTTTGGGGTTTATAGTCAGATTCTTAAATTTGGCATCGGCATATTTACAAAAACTCACAAGAAGTTTAAAAGGATATTTTGAATCTGTCTATCAACACGAGATTTGGTTTCATTAACTCTGATAGTCTTCGATGCTTCAAATACCCTGTCTTCAAATCGATATTTATCGATATAATGCAAATGTACGAACATATCGAAGGAAACAGATGAACTAGTTGTACGTAGGATATGAGCGAATGTATTATTTCAAATGTAACTCTTTCGCTTCCAGACTCGACTTGGCTCGTCACCTTTATCGAAAATATATACATAATAAAGACACTGGGTATATACACTGATTAACTGAGTTATCGGAAAGTAAATTACAAATACTAGACGATATTTCCAGTTCTTATGGTGTAGTATAGATAATGTATTTATTGGCCGTGAAGAGACCCGGACCTTACACGTTTACTCACTTGTACTTGGCCCAAAACTTTTGGCACTGTTTCAGCTTGCCCACAAAGTGTCGCCGCTTGGCATCCCAGTCGTGCGACTTGTTCTTCGACTTGTCCTTCTTATGCAATTTCACCTCATCGGAGCCGGCGGCACAGGCTACGGCTACGGCTGCGGCTGCGCCAGAGGCAGCAACAACGGGCTTGGCGTTGATGGCACGACGCAGTGCAGCGGCATCATCGTTGACCGTCCAATCGACCAGCGGATCGTAGACGAAGGCCTCGAGCAGGGTGAGCAGCGTTTCGCGCTCCTTGCGCATCACCTTGAGCACGTACTCGCAGCCCAGGCGGTAGGCGCCCTAAAAAAAAAAATATATATATATATATACATAAGTATAAAAAACAAGGTGGATTATAAAATATGCTAGGGATCGTAAATTGATACCGATTCGCAGATAGACTCGTAAATAAAGTCACACAAATCGCGTTTATCGTTACGCGTATCTAAAAGATACAAATTGCACCCATTGACATAGTCGCTGTCGTAAAGCGACAGCCAAAACATTTTTATATCGAGTGTTGTTACAACTGCTGATTTTATGATATGCGATATCTATATATATATATATATATATATATATTTATATATTGCAGATATGCACAGTTATACGGCGCCTGTAATCGCGGCTGACAATTGTTGATTGCAGCATTTGTTTTATTTTAACTTTGAAATTGTGCGTAATTTGTGGCTGTTTCTATGGCCCGACGTTGGGATGAACAAATGATTGGGTATCATACAAAGTACGAGGTGCAAATATATGTAGCTCATGCGACGCCAAAAGGCCATATTTCCGCACATGGGTTAACTGTTGAACACATTGTGAAATCTGTTTGGGTTTTATTTGTTTGTGTTGGTTGATTTGTTTGTTTATTTGCAAGCTAGTTTTAGCAGCTGGCAAATATTTGCCAGGTAGCTGCTAGCCTTGAAATGTTTTGTTTGCATTTCTCTTCTGTTAGCTGATTTGTCTGTCAATTTATAAGCTGGTTAATCCAGCTGATAGTGTTTGTCAGCTAGCTGACATGGCGGCGTTGCCAGCTAGTATTATATGCAACATATGGCAACACCGGGCAATGTTTGCCAAGAGGTTTAAGGCTTTGATAATCAGATAATATATTTTTTAGATTAATCAAACGAATTACGATGCCTAACTCAACTAAAATATTTCTTCGAGAAGAAAATGACAACAAATAGTATTTGTAAATGCAATGCAGGTTAAACTAGCTGCCTCCTCCAAAGCATTTGGCAACTTGAATTATAATGAGGATAAATAACTTAACCTTCTAAAATAGGTTTTACGCTAGAGCTTCAATGATGTCCATTTTATCCCAGTCAAAGATACTTGCTAGAGAGTCATTAACCCAAAAATCGAACTGGCTGCCAACTAACATGAACTTTAACATGAGCTTAAAAAAAAAAAAAAAAAAACCAACCTAATTATGCACAAGTGTAAATGAATGAGCCTCAAAGCATTGCAACTTATCTAAATAGAATCATGTCATTTGATACCTTAATGGATGTAAGCTCCACGGCTCACCTAGGGTTAATTCTGAAGTGCTAAAAATACGTATACGAATACCTGTAGATATGGCAAACCTATTGAAATGTGTCAGCCATTAGATAGTTAATAATCATGTACCCCACCAGGCACCAGGCAATATGGCAACCGAGTCGAACATGCAGTATGCCCTACAAAAAAAAAATATGGCTAGGCAGGTGTTGGGCTCTTTGGGCTTCGGGAATACCACATTTTGGCTGTAGGGTAGCTGAAAATGTGTTCGGGCTTATCAACGGATTGCGTTTCTCACGCTGGATCTGGTCACCATGTGTTATCAGTTGGCGCAGTGGATAATAGCAAACCGAAACGTAAACAAACGACGCCCACGAATTGCAGTTGCTGAACGGCAAAGTCCTTGCCCCATGTGGTGCGGGCCTAGACCCACTGGCAGATTGCTAAAAACTGGCGCTCAGTGCGTTTCGTAGTCGCGCTTCGTGTAGGGGACGTGATTTTGCCAGCTGCTATTGCCGACGTTGATTTCTCTCTCTGTGTGTGTGCGTGTGTGTGCGCATGTGTGTTGTGCGTGTGGGAGATTCCCGAAACGTCGTGTGGGTCGTGGGTCGTGCGGTTGTCATGGCCAGCAAGGAGTACGCGAGCAGTGCACAGCTGCTCCACAATTGGCTAAATGCCAGCCAGAATGCCAGCCTAAGTTTGTATGGCATAAATGGAACGCACCAATTGGAGGATAGCTTCATTAATACCACAACTACTGCTGATCTGCTCCAGGAGGAGGAGCAGCTGGATCAGGAACAGCAGCTGCAGCAGCAACAGCAGCACATCAGCGCTGGCCTGTTGCTCTGGCTGATCATCAATGCGATCATCTTTGTCTTTATACTGGTCGGCAATGCACTCACAATTGTTGCGGTGCGCACTTGCCGGAATCTACGCTCGGTTATATCGAATATATTCATCCTCTCATTGGCCATCTCCGATTTCATTGTGGGCGTCGCACTGCCCTATCATGTGGTATTCTACATGGGCATCGGCTTGGATCTGGGCAGGCTGCGCGGCTTCTGCCTGTTCCGTTTCTTTCTCTTCATCTGCGCCTGCTGCGTCTCCATACTGACGCTCATCTCGATCGCCGTCGATCGCTACATTGCCGTCATGTACGCCCTGCACTATAGACGGTAAGTAGCAGAGGAGTACCTTGTTCTCTTCCGCTTCCTCCTCTTCCGTTCAAATGGGGCATTATCTACTGAGTTGTGCTTATAAATCTTAACCCTTGTCAATTAGCTAAAGGAAACATCTGACTAGTCTGTTCTTCTCAGTATGCAAACGATTATCTTACGATAACTAAACCAATTCCACAAAATCGATAAATATCGATTCTAAGCTCTGGCTCTTGAGCGTGTATGGAACGTGTATATAAACTTTAACTTTTCGTAGTTTCCAAAAGAATAACAAATATCGATATTACTAAGGCATATTAAAATATGGAATATGGAATAATTAACCAAGAGTATTTAACTTTTTGTAGCCCTCCCCTCATTTCCCTTTCAAATTGCTTCTACAAGTTCCAAGATCTGGAACATATTTGGAAGTTTTTAGGAAATAGAAATACCAAATATAGAATAATTAACCAAGAATATTGCTTCTGAAATTGTATCTGGAGAGGAATGTATTTGATTTTTGGCTTTGAATGTGTGTAACGAGGTTGAGTACAGGGCATCAATTAGTCAAGCACTCCCGATCGGAGCACTTTTTTAGCTGTCATTTAACTCAATTTCTTATCTTCCACAGTTGTTTTATGTCTTCCTTATTCCTAATTTCCCACAGCTCTATATTCTAGAAACGAGTAGGGAATATAAATTATTTGTTGTAACCTTTGAAAGCTTCTCTTATTTCTTTTGTGAATGCCCTGTCTGGCTTCCAAGAGCTCTTAGCTTTGCTTAATACTTTTTTTCCAAAAGTATTTTCAAGTTTTATTTCTTCACTATTTTTTTGCCGTATCAGCTGTTGAGTTAGAATCCGAGTACCTTAATTAATATGCGCCTGCTAATTAAGCACATGACTAATCCACACCGAAACCCCAATTTCATGCAATTTCCCAGCTACATGACACGCCGCGTGGCCTACTTGATCATCACGTGCAACTGGTGTGTGGGCGCTCTGGTGGCACTGATACCCATCTTTTGGAACAAGTGGTCCGAGGCGCAGGGCTGCGAGTTCGACGAGGTGCTGCTGCCGTGGTATGTGGCTGGCATTATAACGCCCGGATTCGCTATCATCTGGATATGCATGCTGGTCTTCTACTGGCGCATTATGCGCGAGGCGTCCAAGCAGGCGAAGCGGCTGCGCCAGTCGGTGGTCTACAATACGCACAGCAGCCACAGCATGCTGCATCCGGATTGGAAGAGCGTACAGATTGTGGTGTTCATCATGGGCTGCTTTACGCTCTGCTGGCTGCCATATTTCTGTGTGGCGATCGCCCAACTGTTCCGCGTGTGCCGCAGCAATTCGATGATCTACAAGACGGCCTTCTCGCTGGCCATGGCCAACTCGGCACTCAATCCCATTATCTACTCATGGAAGAATGCCGGCTTTCGGAGGGCCTTTGCCAAAACGCTCTGCTGCAAATCCGCCAGCTGCTGTCGCGTCGACGCCGATCTGGAGCTGCATTTGCCCTCGGATAGCGTTAAGCAGCGCATCGATAGCCACAGCTATCCGGCGATAAAAGCTAACGAGCCTACAGAAAAAACTCTCAACTCAGTGCCAGGGAGCGCAATAAATCAATAAACCAAATGTAGAATGAACGGAAGCAAATCCTGAAACTGGAACAAAGTTGGGTCTGGGATAAATTCAGCATAGAGGGGCAAGCTCCAGTTCCAGTTTTTCTTTTCATTTGAGCTGACTCCAAGGGGAGGAGTTGGGAAAGAAACAAGAGAAAAAGGGACGGCTTTTAACATATGTATATAACTTCAAGCCAAGAAATTCCATTAAATGAAACGAGCGAAATGCGAGAATTGTAACAAATGTTGTGCCTACAGCTTATAGACTTCTAAATAAGTTGAAAATGAGTTATGGAAATTTGAAACACAAAGCGAGGCGTCTCTAGTCTGAGATCGTTACAGAACACGTAAATTTGTGTAAGCAAAATGAAATATGAGAACTATAAAAAAATATTACGCCTATTAGTTGATTGGTTTTCATTCTAATTGAACATTCGCAACCCAATGCGAGCGACGACAACTCCAGATGTTCTATTCTTAGGAATATATAAGTTGGGAGCATTATTCATTCGGAGCATTATGTGCGTGGGAAAGCGGATAGTTCTAGTAGATATAAATCCTTATAGGTGGAGTCTCTTGCACTGAAATTCGTCCACGCTACAGAAATATAGACCATATATATATAGGCTGAGATCTCAGATGCTAAGAACCTATATCCCAAGATTTATAACTCAAAGATCTACGATATAGCGATCCTTAGATCGAAGGTTCCCAGATCCTAGATCTAAGATCCCACGGTCTATGATCCCAAGATCTCCTAAGACTAAGATCCCAAGACCTAAGGATCAGATTTATTATTCTAAAATAACAAAACCCTAAGATCTAAGACCCTGAGACCTAAAATTCGTAGATCTAAGATCCGAAAATCGAAGATCCTAAGATCTAAGTTCCTAAGATCTAAGATCCTAAGATCTCAGATCCTAAGCTCTCGTCCATAAGATCCAACATCATAAGTTCTCAGACCTCAACATCCTAAGATCTTAGATCCTAAGACGTATTTTGATAAGATGCTGAAATACTAAGGAACCAAGATCTCGTAATAATAGTGGGAATATGTTCACTTACCTCGATACCCGTTATGCCAAAGGCGTGAACCATATTCTGGGTAAGGCGGAAGGGCACCCGCTCCGGTATGCGTAGGGTGCGACCCTTCTCAAAGCAAACGTTGTAGTCGATGTGTACGATATCGCCGCTGCTCAGATTGATGAGCACATTGTCCAGATGACGATCGCCCAGACCGATGACGTAGCCAATGACAGACATGACGGCCATGGAGCTAGTATAGCGACGCACAGATTGACGCCATTCGGCGGCGCTGCCCGCATGACACCAAAGTTCGCGAGCAAGCAGATCCGAGGGCGTTTCCAGAGTTAGTTCGCTGAGCACTTGACGGAGCACCGATAGCGGCCACTGGCGACGGGGATCGCTCACGAGCATGTTGTGCTTGGCCAGCAGCGGGGATAGCTTGTTGTAGAAGAGATCGGTTAGGCGGCGCGATGAGGCGGCCGTCGCTGGTTGTGGCTGGCGTTGTTGCCATTTCTTGTACAATGCAAAAAGGGGCGTCACCCCATCCACCCAGCTGATCAGACCCGACTGCGGACCCAGCGGTATGACAGAGTAATGATGGGCGCGATAGCAACTGTGGGGCGTATCACTTTTGTTGGCCATAATGGCATTTGATATGGACAGAAACTGCATGATGCGCTCGTCCAGATGCAGATCCTCCAGGCCCTTAAAGAGGAACGTATACTTCTGACCGTTGCTGCCATAGAAGGCAACCTTCTTGGGCTTCGTCTTGGTGGGCAGAATGCACACCGCACTCTCCACGCTCTCTATGTGGACCGGCTGCAGTTCATCTTGGGCATCCAGGCCGGGCATCGATATCCGCATGCGTCCAATATCGCACAGCACGGGACTGATTGTCTGCATTTTGAGTGTGTTGCTCGTGCCGCGCAGCATGTTCGACTGCAGCACATGATAGAGCTGCTTTAGCTTATCCCAGGCCTCCGGATAGGGGCGATGACGCAGTGCGTCCAGTGTGCTCTTAATAGCCGCATCAAAACGCCGCTTAAAACTGCGCTCGTAGCTGGTCTCAGCCTCGCGCGCCGTAAACGCAACCAGCGCCTCCATATCGCTGAGCAACTGTGGCCGCCAGCTATTGAAGCGATTCTGTTTACCCTCATGATCGTCCGTCTTGAAGTCGCTGGCCAAACCATTGACACGGCCCACATAGCTGTTGTAGATGTGCGCCAGCGAGTGTATCCAATACTCATCCCAGAGCAGGCAGACGCGTCGCAGCTCCTTCACAAGCAGCTGGACATGCTGCACCACCTCGGGCGATTGTTTGGTCAGAGCGGCCAGCAGAATGGCATAGCTGCAGCTGCTGCCGGCTGTATTGCCGCTGCCACAGCTATTGCTGATGGGCGTGGCCTGCAGCTCACGATTGGCGCCGACAACGGCGGGAAAGGTGACCAGCTGCGGTCGACTCTCCGCCAGACGGCAGAGCAGCGCACAAACGCTCTTCCTCACATACGGCTCATGATGATTGAGCCGACTGAACAACTGCGGTATAATGACCTTCCATGGACCAATGGGGGTCGTCTTTAGGCCCTGCTCCAGCACATCCTGCAGCCCGCTGGCATGCTTAACTATGAGGCGCAGCAGGCGCAGAGTTGTGGTTACCATATTGCTATCATCCACATGGAAACGCTGCTGTTGCTGTGATGGCTGCACCTGCACATCCTGACCGGTGCCCGCCTTCAAACTGAGGTAATGGAAATAGGAGCGTGCCGCCTCCTTATAATAGTCAAAGGTATTGGACATGGCATGCCGCCAGATGCGCACAATGGACTCCAGCACGCTGGCTGGCTTGTCCGACAGCAGGGCGAGACGTCGCAGCCGCAGCTCACACTGTGCATCCGTTTGCAGCTCATCCTGTTCACAACTGTTACCCGGCTGGGTCTCCATGCGCAGCGCCTGCAGCAGCTCTTGCAGCGTCTCACCATCCAGTGGTAGCTGACCGCCGAGCGCCTCGCCAATGGCGCTGATATCCGCCTGGCTGAGCACGGTGCCGTTATCGACAATCTTTTTGCCCCAGCGATAGCACCAATTGCCATACGCAATGAGCGCCTCCTCGTTGTTTGGACGCTGCTGCAAGCTGGCATTGATCAAGCGCGCCACAAGCCGCTCGCCGTGCGGCAAATTCGTTATTGAGGCCGTGCAGCGCGTTAGCGGACATTCCGGCAGCTGCTCCAGCAGCTGTTGCATATTGGGCGACAGGTTGGTGGTCAGGCCGCTGCAGCTGCGCACCGTTATCCAATCGGATAGGGTAAGCAGCAGCTCGGCGCCCATTTTGGATACCAGCTGCTGCTGCTGCTGCTGCTGCTGCTGTTGCTTCTGTATATTCAGGCAGAGCGCCGCGCAGACATTGATGGAACTCAGTTCGCTGCACTGCAGCAACTGCTGCTGCTGTTGTTGCTGCTGCAGATGCAGACACTTGGTCAGCTCGCTGTAGCCGCGCAGCAGTTGGGCATTGTTCGTGTCCAGCGACTGACTGAGCAGCCGCCCAGCGATGTCCGTTAGCGGCTGGCCAAAGAACAGCTCGAGCATGGCCTGGCAGGTTAATTGGTTGCCCTCCTCGCGCGCCACCATGCCCGTGTCCAAATACAGTGTGCCCAAGCTATCGACGCTGCATTGTTCGCGCAACAGCTGCGTCCAGGCCACGCAGCGCAACAACAAGCCGCTGGTTATATTGTGATGCTGGTTCTGCTGATGCTGATGCAGCTGCTCGTTTCCGCTGCTGTCGAGTGGCAACAGGATTAGCTGCTCCTGCTGGCCGCTTTGCCTTTGGGCAATGTGCTTGAGCAGCGTCAGATGCTGCCATTGCTGCTGATCGCAGCTGTAGTTGAGCAGGCATTCGCGCCAGTTGGTGTCCAACAGCTGCTGCACTGGGCTTGACAGCTCGAATGGCTCGTGCTCGCTGGCCAGTGACTGCTGCAGTACTATGTTCTCCAGTTTTTCGCGCACATAGCCGGCCGAGAAGCTGGCATGCTCATCATTGTCGCTTGGCCAGATGCTCAGGTTGTGAAGCGCAGCGTTTAGTTCATCCGATGTGGACTCATTTTTGGCCAGCAACTGTTCCAGCAGGCTCAGCTGCGTGTTGCTCTTCTGCAGGAAGGGATTGAGCGAGGCATTGTCCCCGGCACGCTTGAGCTGCGCCCTCAGCTCGACAGTCAGCGTCCACTGGCCAGTGCTGTGCAGGCAATCGAAAAGCTGCGCCAGCACAAACTGACGCGTATTCGGCTCCAGTTCCGATTCCTGCTCCTCCTCATCCAGCACACTTCTGTAGCCGGCCAGTGCCAGCTCCTTGCGCCCGGCCGCCTGTTCGGCTGCATGCTGCAGCCACTTATAGCATTTATCGCTCTTCGAACGCGCCCACACGTACAGTCCACGCAGCGAATCCGATTCCCTGCAGCTGATGAAAGCCCAGGCCAAGTAGACGATCGCCTGGCTGTATGTGCAGTCCTGTGACTTTTGGGTAAGCAGAATTTGCTGTGCAGGGAGAAAGTGGAAATGGGCGTTAGTCAAAGTTAAAGTTAAACTTTAATTGGTTCAAAAGAGGTTTAAAAAATGTTTCAAAATCAGTTAGGGTCGGGCTTACAATTGGTTTATAATTTGTTTAAATTGGTTTAGTCTTTGCTTGATGCCCAAACAAATTGTTCAAAAACCAAACTCAGGCTGCAAATCGCTTTTGAGCCCAACAGGTTCGAGCCACGAATCTCATTTCCATTGCATAGTTCTATTACCAGTCGGTCCCAAAGCCGAACCTAACCCAATCCTTTTCAAAACTGGTTCAATTTAAAATTAAAAACTTTTATGGAAGACTTAGTCCCAAAGCACAAATTCTTAAGGCCCCAACCATTGCATTTATCTAAATTTAGAGTATGCCAATTTTGGGTGGATATCAAATTCCAACTTAAAAATATCTACGGCTTTCAAAATTAATTTTGGAATGAGCAAATTTAAATTATAAATTGCATTGTTTCAATAAAACACTAAACCAAATCCTGATATGTGTAAGCCAGGGTCATGAACCGAGCCTAAAAAGGCAGGAACCGATTCGAAAGGTAATTTGAACCAGCAACTTTTTATAGAGCTTCGATCAGGACAACCTTAAGACTAAGAGACTGGTCTTAATAGAAACAGACAGAATGAAGACTAGATCGACCTGGCTATTGATACTGGATAATGGAGCCTCAATGTGTAATACATTTGGGTCATTGGAGAGGTTTTCATAACAGCATGCAGACAATTGCCCAGTGCAATTGCGATGCCTTTTCAAAAATATTTCGATATCAAAGTAGTGCCAGAAGAAGAGCTCACCTGAGCGTATCGTATAACGAGCTCCGGCTGCTGGCTGTGCATGGCAATGATGACGACACCGATGCGTATACGATTGAACCAGGACTGGCAGGTGGGATTGTTAAGGCGAAAGAAGGCGGCGACTGGCTTCTCGGGCGGGCGCAATGCAAAGGCGCTGCCCTCGGCCGCATTGTAAATGAGCTTCTCGAGCGCGTCCAAAAAGCCGAGCAGCATGCTCAAGTTTGCGCGCGTAGTGGACAGCTGTTGCAGGGACATCTCGTCGAATGTCTGACGTTCGCACTCCTTGGCACAGCCGCTGAGAAGGCGTGCATAGCGCATCACGATCGCCTCGAAGGCGAGAAACGTGTCTTGCGGCTTGCCCAGCGTGGTGCGCAGCTTCTGGTCCACACAGTAACGCGCCGCCTCAAACTGCAGCCAGGCGGCGGCCAAGCGCTGGCAACGTCGCGTGCACTGCGTCAATTTCTCTTGGCGCTCATCCAGCGTCGTCACCTGGCAGCTGCGCATGAACAGGTCGCGCAGACAGTCGGCAAACGGCTGCTGCTCCGGCGCCTGCAGACGCTCCACAAAATCCCGAAAGACCATGTCGCGCAGGGCGCTGCACTGGCTCAGCCGCTGCTGCCAGACGCAGACGTGACTGCTGCCAATGCCAGCGCTGATGCGTCGCTCAATAGTCAGACTCAGCGGCAACTGGGCATAGATCTGGGCGTAGGCCGCATGGGCGCTGCTAGCGAGCGACTGCAGCTGCTGAAGGGCCGTATCACGATACAATTGCAACAGCTCCTGGCTCAGATTAGATATGCCATAGCCCAGCACCGCTTGTATGCAGACGGCACTCTCCAGCGGCGCATATTTTGCCGCCGTGCTGGCAATGTTCTCGCAAATCCCAATGAAGTCCGCGTGCTGCAACAATATGGAGGAGCGTGTGCTGCACTCGCCCAGCAAAGATTTTGTCCAGGCGAGCAGCTGTTTAAGATTTAATGGCGCCAGCTGTGCCGCCTGCGCCATACAGTGAGCCAGAAACTTGAGTATGTGACCAAAACTGTGCGCCGTCGGCGATGTGGAACTAGCGGAGTGCGCATTCTCGTTGTCGCCATCGCGCAGCAGTCTCGAATTGTTCCGAAAATTGTGATTCGCCTGGCAGTGCACCACGAGCAGGCTGAGTATGGCATGATGAGTGGCCGCATGCTTCGACCACATGTTGAGCTCGCGAGCGCGACAATTGCATATCAATAGCTCCAGTATGGATGGCTTGCAGGCATACATGCCAATAATGGAGGATGTTTGCTTGGCCAATGCCGCCAAGGCGGCCAAATGAAAGATGAGCAAAATGTTGGCATCACTAGAATCAGACGGTGGTTCCGCCGTCTGTGCGAGGCGCAGCACACAGTTGTCCACGTCCTGCACGAGCTGCTTGTAGGCCTGCTGCAGCAGCGGCACATTCTTAATCAGCAGCGTCTCCTGGCAGGTGCGCAACAACAGCTTGTGCGCCGTGGTCTCGTTCTGCAGTCTGATGTCCGCCAGAAATGGCCGTTGTGCAGCATCCGCCTGGAAGATCAGTTGGACCAGGGCGGCGGGCAAGCGTGTGCGCAGCTTGCGCACTGTGCACAACAACAGATACAGGCAACTCAGCTGCTGAGGCTCCGGCAAATGATGTATATGCTTGAACTGCATATGAAGTAGCTGACTTAAGGTGGCAGCTTCCGGTTCCTTATATCCATTGAGTAGGCAAATGCAGAAAAGTTCATTTATGTTGATCAAAGCATCATCGTTTTTGTCCGACAGCTGCAGCAAGTCGGGCATCATTTTGATGAGATGTGTTAGGGCCTGACCAACAATTGACTCGCATGTGATGTGCATGCGGGTAAGGCACTTAAGTAGCGAATTAAAGGCGCCAATAAAGGCGCCAATGCGCTCGCTAAGGCGCTCTGTTGGGTCCAGTGCTGTTATATCCTCAATAAATTGGGCTAACAGGCCGTAGCTAAAGTCCAGTTGCTTGCTAAAGTACGGCGTTAGCTGCTCCAGCACGTAGGCACAGTGGGACTTGAGTTGCTTGGGCTGGCCAATCTCCAGTTGCCAGCCAATAATTATGTCCACCACATCCGTGAAATGGCACTCGAAGGCATCGCGATAATTGTGAGAGAATTGAACAATGCACGCACTAATGCTCATAAAACTGTCGGGGCTCTCCGCGCCCTCCAGAAAGTCCTTAAGCATGAGCATTATCTTCTCCGAAAAAATGTGCAGATCGCATTTTGTGTCGCAGCTAAAAACAATGCCAAAACGTGGACGTGGTTGCGGGCAATTCGTGGACTCCAAGGACACTCACCTTAGCGTCGTGCGAAGCGCAACAATTAAATACTTTTGCAAGCGTTTATTTGTCCTATAGTTCGTCACAATGAACTCCTCGTAGATGGGATATGACATGCGATTAATATACCCAATCAGTCCAAGAATTGAACTGCACTCGTCCAGCACCGGTGGCGGGCATTGCTTAAATAACGACAGCATCCCATCCAGTATGACATTAAAGGAGCGCGTGAGGTAGCCAACGTTGATCGGAGTGCGCACGGCCATTTCCAGTTTGGCGCAGAGTTCAAGAGCAGCCGCTGGGCTAGTTTCGTTTTGCAGGCGACGCATGATTTTGGACATACGCAGGTCATCCGTGCCCAGTTTGCCATCACGATCATTGGCATTGGTGAATTGCACTGAAATATTCGATTGATTAGTTAGAAATTACAGTTGGGCACAGTTACACTTACTCTTGCATTGATGCGATTTACGCGAAATGCCCTTCGTCATATCATTGTTTATATTACGCAGCACTGGGTTAGCATTAGCTGACGACGCCTGCATATCGTGTGCTTTTGACCACAACGTTGTTTCATTGATATTAATGTTGTTGTTGTTATTGTTTCCATAGTGGTTGCTGCCGTCGCTTTTGTTGCTATTGTGGCCAGATACATCGGTTAACATCGATGCATCCTCGTCGGCGTTATTGCAATTATCCAGCGGTAAAGCGGCGCTTTTCATTGAAAGACCACCACGACTGGTGATCATATATATAAAATTTGCGCCACCGAATTGTTTTTGTTGTTTTCGGGTTTCACGTTCAGTTCATAGAGATGTCAATCATTGACAAGCAGTGTGTCCACACTTAAATCGCCGATATATCTTAAATAATGCTCAACACTCAAATATCGATGGTCTTTCTTGGTGACTATCGATAACAGCACCGTGCAAGCAAAGTTCGCGGTTATTTGAAAATATTTATAAACACAATTATAAGTGTAATTATAAAAAGTTTACAAAACTATAACTACTGGCAAATTAAATCAGAATATGTGTCCTACATTTATATTTTATTTGTTTATTGAGATTCTTCCTATTTTCCTGGTTAATATGATGAATAATATTAACTGCTTAACTAATTATATTTATAGCTGTGACTTTATTATTTAATACATATGTATATGTCAATAAACAATTAATATATGAATACAGAACTGTTTACACTTCTAGTTATTTCATTTTGCCCATCAAATGTTGAGTATAGGCTGCCACAAGGTTCGCCATCTCTGCGTACACTTGATAGGGATGTCTGGGCAGCGCTGCAGCTTGGCAGTTTGCCTCGAATGCATAAGGTACGTCCAGTGGCGTCGGATGGAGCTCAGGGGCCGGCGGTGGTTGCTCGTGTGCCACCAGCGATAGGCAAATGTCGCCCACCTGCAACTGCTGGCACTTTAATTCGTAAAGCTCGAACGACAATTGCGGATTGCAGGAGGCCCAGCCCTGACCGTAAACAAACAGCGGATGAGCCGATGCCACCTCCATGTGAACCTAAAACATCAACTTTCATTAATGAACTCAACTCAATACCACAAAATGCACCCACCTTCAAATGCTGCGTATCATAGCTAAAGGTTATATTGTTGATATGCGTTGATATTCTGTCAATTTTAACGACCGTCGCCTCCTTCAGGTCAAAGTGCTGACTGCGCAGCGCCGACTGAATGAAGTCCTCGGTGCGTAGATCCTCCACGCGTCGCAATACACCTGTTGACAGCTCGATGCAAGTGCCCCGTCGAAAGCAGGCACTCGACTCAATGTTTGGATTGCTGCAATTGAATTGAATTTACGATTAATTGTGATGCAAATTTCTTTAAATACCGCCCAATTGCTCTTCACATTTTGAATGGATGCTGCCTGATTTCCTGCTGCATGATGCGTAGACGTGACGACCTGTTCGCTGCAGTCGCGATTGAAGACTGTTCAGTTGAGAGCGGAATTCATGTCGCTTTTTGCCACTCAATTCATTCAATTGAATGTGGTGCTTTCCATGGGCTTTCCAGGAATGTCACCCACTCATGACCGTTGCCCACGCCACTGGTTACCTGACCCACCGCACCTACGCGTCCGACAAATAATCTGCTCATAGCAACAGGTAGGCGAAAATGAGCACAGTTTTTCAATTTAACGCCGAGCACCGCCCGTGGTGCTACCTAGGTTTCCGCTTAACAGCCATTGTATTGGCTAGTCCAGCGGCAGTCGACAGTCGGCGCCGATTTGGCTGTTGCGCCAGGCGCCTTCTCACACACACACACGCACATAGACACACTCACAAACAGCAAATACGTTTTAACAAGAATATACATACATATTTATTTGGTTTTGCGTTTTCTTTTGGTTGCAGAGGATTTGATTTGAGTAACGCGCCGCTTGCCAAAGCTCGGCCACTTCAAGTCCATGGCGTAGATATAGTAGCGTACATAGAAATAGAGCACGCCCAAGCCGGAATACACAGAGGTGAGCAGCAGCGGCATGAATGGGAATAGCAAATGCAGGCCCAACAAACGACTGACTATATGCTCATAGATGGGAATGGTTATGAAGCCCAGAAAGTAGATCCATTCGAGTAGGTGAAAGTTTGGTTTGCACTTATAAACGCGCTCAAGCTGGCCGTACATCATAGCCATGTAGGTCATGTACAGGGAGTAGCGCGGCACGAGCAGATCAACCTCGAAGAGCAGGGGAAACAGCGAGTAGTACCCAGCGACGGCCAAGATGTATGCAAATCTGGCATCCCGACGATCCAGCAAAGCAAGCAGGCTGCATGTGTGAGATTTTCAATTATAGAGTTCCGGCAAATTCTAAACTGTGTATTCCACACTCACCACAATGGTATCAGGCACATGAGTATGGCCTTCTCATGGACATGCCAGCCAAACATGAAGGAGGAGCAGGAGCAAAGTACCACAGCACGCATAAACAGCAGCTTGGCTTGTCTGGCAATTAAATGGGATTAGTTAATGAAGTAGTTATTGCGTACAAGGCGTGCTTACTCTCTGCTACGCGTCATGTAGAGCTTAATCAGGATGGGCAGCATAAATAGGAATGTGAGTGCAAAGGTAATGGACGGTGTTATTGTGGGCAACACTGTGTGTTTCACCTCCTGCACCAGGCCGGACGTAGTCGAGGTGGCCTCAAGTCCGGTCGTGCGTTTCAAGGCAATCACAGCCACCTTATCGGCGGCATTATAGAGCGCCCAAATATTGGGCGCCCAGTAGGCGTGGGTAAGTCCGCGCTTAAACGGAAACAGGCGCGACATCAACTGCGGCATTTGTTGCCAGAAGGGGCCAAAGGACAGCACGAATGGTACAAGACCCACAGCAAGCAGCTTAAGCATATTATGTCCAAAATTGCCCTGAGCCAGGCAATAAAATTTCAATAGATAAACGCCAAAGGCGGGCGCCATATAAAGGAATATATGCTTGAAATTCAGCAGGACGGCGAACGCAAAGGCGCTCCAGAGGTAGCGTTGTCTGAGCAGTGCGCTTATGCTCAGCAGCAGTATGCCAAACAGGAATCCATTGTACTGAAAGTGTATGTGATCCACGAATATGAGGCCCACATTCAGGAAGAGTAGCATGCAGCCGGCTATGTGTTTCTGGGTGGATGGCACAATGCCGAGGGCGGCCATGCAGCTGCGTACGCCCAGCATATATATCAGATCCATGACAATCACCGAAATGCGCTGGAAATGCACCGTCTTAACTGAGGCATAATTCAAATTCTGTACGATAAGCATATTGGGATCAACATATTTGGCCGCCTGTGAGAGCAGCCATTCGAAATAGGCAAAGAAGGGTGGATAGTCCAGGGTCCATTCGCTGGTCGCGTCCAAATACCATCGATTCAGCGGCAAACTGTGTGTTATAGCCAGCCAATTGCGATGCACCTCAAAATCAGTGGAATAGCTAAAATTACAGTTTGATTGAATTGTTGGCAATGTCTCCACATGCCGGCCGGTCGGCCGGCCGGTAAATCTATAATTTTGTTGTTACTTACTAAGCGGGCAGCAGCAGCACTTTAATTGCACAGCTTATGCCGACCAATTGCCAAAAGTAGCCCTTCATAATGTGCCTGCTGCTGATGATATCAGCTGGCGAGGCATCTAAAGCTTTTTATTTTCTTATTTTTCAACAGCACACACGTTATCGTTGCTAGAGATGGGACTATTTTAAAATATCGGCTGTCATTTAAACGCCGGCTACAAGTGTGACCCACCCATATCTTGAGTTTATAGTTTGGTGTTTTTTAGTATCAATTGGAGAGACACTTGTAACAATTTGTTTACTCCGTGCATTGGCGGCACGTGTATTTAAAAATGGAAAACGTTACCGAGGCTTTGTTTATCAGCACATTAAACAGTGAGCGTGCATCCTGTTTCGTACAGGATCTGCGCACTGGCACCGACCTGATGCGTTACAAAGGCGGTGGCTCAATGCAGTCTCACAGCCTACAAATGCTCGAGGAGCACTTTGTTATTGCGGCGAACAGCACGAAGCCCTTGCTGCATGTGTGGCCCATTAATAGCCAGGAACCGATGTCGAATGTACGATACGTTGTGCCGGGAAAGGTGAACGCATTGGCACTGACTCCAGACAGTGCCTTCCTTATAGCTGGCATACAGGAGACCATCTACGTTTGGCACCTCAACTCCGGCCGCCTGCTCAATACGCTGTCCAAGCATTACCAGCCCATAACGTGTATACGTTTTACGGACAACGGCGAGCACTTTGCCACTGCCGGCAAGGATGGTGCTGTGCTTGTCTGGAATCTTACACGTGCTGTTGCCCCCCTGGGTGGTGTCGACAGTGAAGAGAATGCACCCTTTTACAATTTCAACGATCACGGGCTGGCGGTCACCGATGTCCATATTGGACTTGGTGGCATACGCGCCTTCATGTACACCGTCTCATTGGATCGCTGCTGCAAGGTGTATGATTTGAGCGATGGCACAATGCTATTGAGCGTCGTGTTTCCAGTTGCCCTGCACAGCGTCATTGTAAACAAGTTGGAGACCAGCGTCTATGTGGGCACCAGTGAGGGTCAGATACTTATTTTCAGTATGGAAAAAGTGCCACGCATGAAGGTACCAAGCGAATCTTTAAAATTGTTAACAATTGGTTTCTTACTAACGGGCTTGTCTATAATTCACAGGAATACCATCTCGAAGAGGAGGAAAGTCAAGCCTTTGTTGGACACACAGCCGGCACACCTATCACATGCTTGGCTCTCGCAGTGAATGGAAATCAGTTGATTTCTGGTGGTGAGGATAAGCAAGTGTGCATCTGGGATGTTGGTAGTCGACAGCTGGTAAAGAGCATATCTCAGCCCGGCGCTATTACAAATCTGCATATCCGCCTCATCGGCAACGCCATGTTTCATCCAGGTCCTAAGGCGCATAAACCTTTTGCCGACAATCTCAAGCGAATGATCAGTCCGGATGATGATGATGAATGCATTGAGCTGCTCATCACAGAAGAGTATTCAAAAGCACCAAAGTTTCCAGAGCCAAACTTTGATAACAGCTATGATGGCACCGATGGAAATGCTGATTTTAAGGTTGTGACCCTTCCAGACGACTACGAAGATGTGGTGAGCGAAACGGAGGCTGATGACGCAGAAAATTCAGCTGATGATGCGGAAGATTCAGATGATGATGATGATGACGAGGAAATGCCCGATGCTGATGCGGCCCGCAATTCCAAGTCTATGCTTGCGGAGCTCGAGAAATTACGTGCGGAAAATGCACAACTCAAACTGGAAACAAAACGCTTGATGGACTTAAAAATAAATAGCATTGCAGGCAATATACCAAGTGCGAAAGCCTCAAAGAAAAACAAAAGAGCTCGCAAACACTAGACTTTAAAGATATTTTGGTTAACAATTATATTATGATGTTTTGTTTAGAAACAATAAATGTGTATAGAAACGAATTGCTATTCATAGCAAAAAGAAAAAAAAAAAACATGCAAACTGTGCATTTTAGTTTACATTTGCGCTGGGTACATCCTTAGTATCCGGCTTTTCTACCATGTCATCATCCCCGTCGTCGCCTTCCGCCTCTGAGGAAACATTGTCTTTATTCTGAGCCAGCTGACGTCGAATTTCGCGATTGGAGTTTAAAAGCTCGCGTAGCTGTGACAAAATGTCGTCGGTGCGTTGCTCCACAGCATCCAAGGCACAGCTTAGAGCGTCTAGACTCTGGTTGACATCCTCCATCTCTGCAAATAGCAAACGGCGCCATTTAGGAAAAACGCACACGTGCACATGAATTATACGATATTACCTTGTAGATCGGCCTCCTGAACATTTGTGTTGCCCGACTCGCCGGAGGACGTCGGATCGTGGTTATTCCTCGGGGACATCGTTGCTGCTAAAACAAGGCGTCAGCTGACATTTGCTTAATTGCGCGAACGGACATGAGCGTAGGCATAACTACAACAAAGGGGTTAATTTTGTTTCCTTACAATTTCATAATTACTAATTATAACAAAAAGTGAAAAAATATTTATATAAATAGTTTTGAAGTTTTTAAGAGGAAAAACTGGACAGATCATTTGTGTGCATTTGTTTATGCCATTCGGGACCCCTTCTTTAACGTTAACTACGCTCATGTTTAGGGATGACTTACATTTCGATACACTTATCGACAATTTCGACAGTTTGAGCTGGTGCTGACTTGCAGCTGCAACACTTGTGCTCACATTTTACAGCACTGGCAGTCAGCCGGCGGCCATAATAATAATAAAAACATTCTGGTGATTGTTGCATAAAATTCATATTGAAAATTTTTACCTGCTACGTAAGTAAGTCATTGCGGCAAAGAAGCACGTGCCTATTGTCAATGAATGGCGGCATTTGCAGTTGCGGGGACACTCACCACACAATTGCCACCGAACGTTGACAGCGAAGAGCACAAATAACCTGTGTGTTGGCTTCTTGTGTACGTGCCGCACAGCCAATTGAATTCGTTAGTTAATTTAATCTAAAGGTTATCTAGGGTAACTAAAAAATCAATTGAGGCCGCTTAACCGCCTTATTTCGTTTTTAGTTTTTGTTTATTTTTTTTTATATAAGAATTTTAAATTACAAAAAAATTTGTATCACAATTAGTATTATTTTATTTTTGTCCATTTCATTT